ATTGTGATCGGGGTATAACCCGTCAACAAAAAGTATATGTCACGGTGAATAATAACGTAAATCTTATGATATAAAACTATATTGATGTCCAAAAATTAATGGTCAAAGATACAAATGTTTAACTTATGACAAACATAAAGTAAGATGAAATGAATGGTTTCTCTTTTCTGGTTTTGTGAGGCCATTGTCAACTTGTGCTAACACGTACTCTCTCCGTCAACCCAACATTGAATGGGACACGATTTATTGTATTAGGATGTGTCCCATCTAATTATAGGTTGAAGGGAGTATGTTTGTGTGTTGACTGGTGTTACATACGTGTGGGTACGTTTTTAGTAGGATTAGGTTAGATTATGTATTTATACTGACTCTAACATGTATATGTTAGAGTGTGTTAGAGCGTTGATAGTCATGTACATTGTACCTTTGATATAATCATATCATAAAAAAACAAAAAAATATGTCCGAACTGTAGCTTTAAAAGTAAAATTTAGAAAATCGCATTTTTATAGCCAAAGTTGTAGAAAACAACGTGTATTATGACAAGTGGCATATTTCCACAAGTTTTATGATATAAGTGTTTCATAAAACACAACATCTATCTATCTATTTATTATTATATACTAAAAGTACACGAAACTTCCTACAAACGCTCCTAAACCGCCAAGTGGCGCTCTAATAAATTAGAGAAATCCCTAGAAATTCTAATAAAAAACAAAACATTTAGCCTTCGGTTTTCACTTAAACTGGTGGACCCATTATTTTACACCGTTGGATCATATTTATGAAAAAGAAACAGTAATCCCTCCGTGATCTGTTGTCCCTGATAATCGCTTAGATTTATATATAGAAAAAAGAACGTGCTACGTGAGCCTTACGTTCTGCACGCGCGACGAAACAACGACTACATATACGTCGACCTCTTTCACTGGTGATCGCCCTGCACCAGAAGATCTGCGCCACAAAAACAGCCGTGAGTGCCATGAGTCCATCGATGTGGATCCATCCAAACTCTTGAGTCCCCAAACATATACTGCTCCGGTGCAATTTATCAATTAAGATTTGGTTCAAACTTTGATCTGCAAACTACTTTTGCTGTTTTTTTTAAGAAAAATCCCGTTCAAACTTCCAAGTTGTTTCGTTTCTGATATGAAACGACATCAACTAATTAAGGGCTCAGCTAAGCCATCGGATGACCCCTAAGTTCACTTGCACCAAGGTAGATATGATTTAGCATGGCACTCTATAAACACTCATAAGTCGAGGAATCCTATAGTATCAATATTATAGCCCGTGCAATGTAAATTTGAGGAATCGTCTAGCCAAAAAATAAATATATTATTATATATTATATACTAAAGGTCCATTAAACTTTCTACAAACGCTCTCAAACCGCCACGTGGGATTCCTACAAAAGCTTCTAAACCGCCACGTGACGCTCTAATAATTTCTGAGAAAAAAAGAAAAATATCTAGCTGTTTATTTTTAAGTTAAAACAGTTGACCCGGTAATACTAACCATTACATTAAATCCACCGATCCGATCACCCTTTTCTCTTGGAGCTACAGGTACGTATAAAACGTACGAACCACCACATCTGCTCCTCCCACTCAGTATTCTCTTTCTTTTTTATTTTTTTATTAAGGTTATGCACCATAATTTGTTACTATAAAAATTATTAGATCTATTTTTACATGGAACTTTAATTTATATATGAATGATCTTGGTGACATAAATAAATAATTACTTTTTTAAGCCAATCTACACATTCAATTTATGACACGCTTAAGCGAAGCCATCCATGACAAATCATTTATGATAGCTCTCATACTAACGAACGGATCAAAACGTAGAATGTTTGAGATATGTCTGTAGGGATAATCCATCAAAGAAGTAAGATCATCTATGACAAGTGTAGTTTTGATGAATTACGCATATGACCTAACAGATGATAAGTCTCCGCTTTCCTCACTTCCTCTCTCAGTTTTCTAGCTAAAGAGTTAAAAAAAATCAATAATTAGATGGCTAAATATTTTTTAACATATTTGATTTTTTTTGTTTGATCCATATTGACCATGTTTTGGTACATAATATTATACATTAAAAGTCATGAAACTTTCTACAAACGCTTCTAAGCTGCCACGTATAACCTATAAATGCTCCTAAGCCACCACGTGGCACTCTGATAAATTAGAGAAATTCTTAAAATCTCTTAGAAAAAGGCAAAAACTATTGAATTTCATTTAATCCGGTGGACCCAATATTTTTAACCATTAGATCAATCTCTAAAAGAGACGTGGGGCCTCTTCTGCTCGATGCACCACATGGGTTGCTGCCGGATGGGCACCGCGGTGGGCAACGGCACCGTCGACGCCCATGGCGAGAGCTGGGAGGTGGAGCAACTGTATGTGTGCAATGACAGCGTGCTGCCCACCGCAGTGGGCATCAACCCCATGATCACCGTACTGTCCATAGCGTATTGCGTTGCCAATGGCATTGCTGACTCCCTGTCCGGTAAAACGACTTAATTAGCTCTAATGTTGTTGCAAATTCTATCAGTATACGCATATGATTGTTATGAGCACCAGAATTATGTGCATGCGCCTTTGTCGTGCAAAGTTGTGGATTATTTGTAATTATCTCCATGAAAAAGAAAAAAAAAACACCGCATCTTTCTGCATGGTGGTAGAATTCATCGCTCTTGGTAGTCTAGAATTCATCGCTCTCGAACATATCTTTTCATCATATTAGATATGCACAATACTCATAATAAGTACATATCTTTTCATGTAATTAAAAATTTTAGTGCGCATGGAGTCGTAAGTACGGTATGTTATCCGCGGTCCCTCTTTTTCTCTTTATCTGTTCCCTCTCTTATTCCTATTTTTATGCAATGTTGGTTAGAAACCACAAATCTAAATTGATATTTTTTATCTGTTTATATCGTTAGATAATTTATGACTAAATATATGGTTAAAGATCATATTCATTATATTTCAACTTTCAAAAAAGTCACATTTTGGTTATAATTTCTGACTTTTATATATGTCATTTAGATAAATATAAAAAATATGAAAAAATAATCATATATATTTTTATCAATGTATTCACAATAATTAAATTAGATCAACAACGGTAAAAGTAAAATAAACTTAACTATGAGTGGTGTTAAAAAAAATTATTCCCCGCATTCTAAAACTATGGTAAGTCAAAATAATATAATTATATTTATCTATTATATACTAAAAGTCCATTAAACCTCCTAAAAGAACTCTCAAGCCACCACGTGAACATCCTAGAAACGCTTAAGACTCCTGATCGGTCACAGTTTTGCCCCCATCGACATTAATGGGAACACCATCAGCATGGGGGCCAAATTAGCTTGTGACTACATGTGTGATAGGGGCCAAATTAGCTTGGGAGTACAGGTGTATATCACAGATGACCGAGCTAAGAGCTTTATCTACCAATTATTTTAGAAACTTAAAAGATAAAAACTATTTAGTATTCAAACTACCATGATTGTATAAATGGCTAATTCTTTCAAACAAAAAAGATAAAATAGGGTAAGCATGGTAGGCTTCACATTTAAGATTATGCAATATAAATATTGTCACTAAATGCCCAATGGACGTTAGCTAACATAAAATCACAAACAGTGATCGTTTGGATCACGTAAATTTCTAATGTTTAATCATAAATTTTAGAGCAAAAATATTTAAATCATGACAACAATCATACCACAGTGCACGGAACAAATGAATTGTCTCCCACACTGCGAAATCAATTTAGACCCGAGAAGGCTTTTTTGTTTGAAATATATATAGTGTTACATGCACCCAAGGTATCGATTAATAACAATGAAACAATCTAGCCAACATATAGAAAAAAATAGCAGGTGCATCTCACCAAAGATACAGTAAGTTGTAAAATATGTAGCCAATTTTCTACATACTAAAAGGAACACCAAAAGTAACTATCAAGTTCTATTGATCGTTGGCAAATAGTTATACGGGCACAAAGATTTGTATGTACCATTACTTTCATAATCAATCAATGTAAAATGTCAACTTTAAGCCACTTATCCAACTTTTTAATTGAATGAACAATTGTGTTCATCGCACTCATAAACAAATGATCTTCACGGGCATTCTTTTCACATGTTCCTCAAATATGCACCCTCCTATGTGACGAGCTTGGCTCAGACTCATGGGCCACCTTTAGAAACAACTTTTGTAATGTTTTTACACAACTATTTTAGTGGAGTACTTAACCCACAAGATAGCATTGAAACTTTTATAGAGAGAACTATTTTAGTGAAGCACTTAATCCGCAAAGGTAGTATTGAATCAATCTACTCCCTTGGCTATAGGGGAAAAAACTCATTTTATGTCCTAACGATATTTTATTCTTTTTTAATTTTTTTTATGCTTCTCTACATACAAGCCATATTTCGCTTTGACACATCAATAAATGAATGTCAATGATAATTAAACAAATTTACTAAATTCCACAACTTGCATGTATAAGCTTCTAAGGTATCAATACAAAATCAATAAATTAAAGACAGCAGGATGGTAGAAAACTATATTTATGAGAAATTAAAGTTTCTTAAGATTTTTTAAGAAAAAATAAACAATGAGCATTCAATTAAGAAGGGAAATACATAACTTTAATTTAAATTCATTTTGTTAGACCTGTTTTCGAAAAGAAATAACAAGCATGCCCGTGCGAATGCGCGGGCTACCTTCCTAGTTTATTTAAATTGTGATTAGTTTTAGCATATATGAAATACTATCAAGGAACTCAGTTTAAAATTTTATATCCACCATGGTTTAAAATTTGAAGTATAGTCATACTCAATATATATAGGAGTAGAGTTTTGTGAAACTTGATAATTATAATAATATCTGAGAAAAGGTTAAAATAACTAGGTTTTATGATACTTTGTTTTTTAAAAAAAAAAAAGAAGTAGGAGCTCAAGTGGCCGTTCCCAAATTGATTTCTCGCCTCCACTCGTTTGTGGGGGTGATCCAGTCGCGCGCTCCTCCTTCCACGCGCCAAAACCCCAGCCACCACCACCATCTCCCGTCCCGTTCCCACCAAAATCTCCCCCTCCGATTTCGCGCGGCTGCGGTGGTGGTGCGTGTGCTGCTGCCACTGACGTTGCGGCGGGAGAGCGCGATCGATGTCTGTGCAGTGCGCGGTCCGGCCGCTCGCGGCGCTCCCGGCGGCGGCGGGCACGTCGCGCTCGCGCCGCGTTGGCGGGGCGAGCCATGTCGCTGTTGCTGCCGTGCCGTCTTCGCCCCGCCGGCCGAGGCGCGCTGCCTCCGTCGCGCCGGTCAGGGCGGCCGAGTCGTCCCCGCCGGCCGCGGCGCCCGCGCCGCCGTCGTCCGGGGCCGCGGCCGGGAAGGCCGTCGTCCCCGACGAGGAGTTCACCCTCGCCAAGGTGAGCCACCGGGGGCGCGTTCTTTAATTCTTGCGGTAGCAGCAGCAGCAGCAGCGACAGCAGGTGTTGAATTGTAGCGGCGGCGACGAGTTTCTGACGGCGAATGGAATCTCACTTCATGCAGGTTTCGTTCGGTGTGATTGGGCTAGGTGTCGGTGGCACCCTCTTGTCGTAAGTTGGGATTGCACAATTGTGCTTGGCATTATTCAGAATGATGAAGTAGCTTGAAAGGCTTGATTTGGTGCGTTCTTGTGATTTCAGGTATGGATTCGGGGCGTATTTCAACCTGCTTCCTGGTTCGGAGTGGTCTGCACTTATGCTAACATATGGTTTTCCACTCACCATCATCGGCATGGCATTGAAGGCAAGAACTATCCCCCATGTGACATGTACAAGAGGAGAGGCAATGAGGCATATGACATGTTGAGACATATCAATTGTATTTGTTTAGATTGTTTGACCATACTGGTCAACTTAAGACCTTCCTCAGGAAGGTGCCTTTTGGCAATTAGCAGTCATTGGCCTTTCATTGAGTTTGCACCTTCATATTACATACTTGAAAATAACTCTGCAGCAATAGAATGCAGTTTACTGTGTTGGAGTTTCAGATGAGCAGCTGTCCTTAGTTTGGAGTTTAGGTTGAAGGTTGTCAGCTTCTTTGTTGCAGTGTGCACTGATTCTTAAATTTTTCTACATGCAGTATGCTGAACTGAAACCGGTGCCTTGCACAACCTACGCCGATGCTTTTGCTCTAAGAGAAAAGTGTGCTACCCCTATCCTCAATCAGGTACTATTCAATTTCCATTATCTAGGACATATGCTCCACTTCCACTGCTCAAATTTAACTATTTATTCATGGTGTACTTGAGCTGTTTATAATCTGTTTTCTTCTTATTTGGAGAAAAATAAGGCTACATGATGAGTACAATCCTCTTAGTGGATTTCTTACCATTGGTGCCAGGGGGGATTTAAGTGTTGAAAATTGTAGGAAGAGGCGTGAGTAGACATTAGCGAATTTGTGGATTTTGGAAAGATAACACCGGCAATAGTATTGATCTTCCAGCTTTACTTACCTCTAGGTCAGGAGTGATGTTACACGTTACAGATACGGTGATGAGCAGCACCTGGATGAAGCACTGAAGAGGATCTTTCAATATGGTTTGGTAATTCCTTTTTTTGCCCTTTTTTACTAACTGGACATTGTTTTGGCTCATCTATTTTTTATCAATAATTCCATGTTCTGTTATTAGAAGTTTTGCAAGGCAAGAACTTCCTTGCTTTATCCTACTTATTGATCTGCCTTCCTTTTGCACAATCCAACTGACAGGGTGGTGGAATTCCAAGGCGTAGTGCACCTATTTTACAAAACATTCGGGAAGAAGTAAGTTCCCAATACATTTATTTTTTTCTGTGAAGTAGTCTTTCCAAAATATTGCATAATGTAAATCACACATATCATTTTCATAGTTTATATTTCATACTCGTTGGAAGAGTTTAATTACAAAATGGACCCCTCAAGTTTCACAAAAGGTTACTTTGGTCCATCAAGTTTAAAAGAAGCCACTTTAGACCCTGCTTGGGTGAGCTTCAGATTTATCTGAAGCTGATATCAAACAAACCCAACTAATCCTGTAAGGATGATTTACTTAACATGCCATCCAAGACCGGTCCAAATTGTTCACACAATATCTGCCGCATGTGAATTGGCATTTGGCACCTGTTACTTCAATGTGGACTGTAGGATGTTACTGAAACAATTCCTACAGTAACATCAAGCAAAGTTGATGATTCAAAATATTTGCCTGTAAAAGAATATAAATGGGCAAAGTAGCGATTTTTAATGGCCTAGACCCTTTTACTCTAACCAGACTACTAAAAGGATTAGTGCAGTGATTAGCATGTCAAATGTCAACTTGTTACATAATGGCCAATTTGTGGTGTTCTTGAACTATAGATACATGAAAAGGAGGCAGGAAATTTAAATATGAATATCATAAATATGTATTTTTCTTGTGGGAAATAATTCCTCATTGATGTTTCTGTGTCCACCATGCATCTAAAAATCCTGCATCCCTCCATTTCTAATGGAAGTTTTGTCCCAATCGATTGTATCATCATTAAAGTCATGACAGATGAACTCAAATGATATTAAGTCAAATTAATAGCAGATTTTTCAGCTAGCATCAAATGCTATTTCTAGATCTCCGTAGTTTTCCTTGGTCATTGTTTCCTTTGTTTAATGGCTTCAATTAGTACACTGTTAGCACTGATCTCAGGGCAAAGGCACAGCCAATGTTGGTAAGAGTGGTGCCAAAGATCCTTTGGCTTGATTTTATTTTTATTGAAATTATTGTCAACTTTTGTTCATTGGACAAGGTAGTACTAGGCCTTAGAGGGCTCGGCCCCTTCTTTTCTCTTCGAGACAAGCCTTAGGCCCTGTAGTTGATTCTACTTTACCCAGTTAATGAACATGGCCCAGTTATATGTTAATGTTTCCTAGTTGTTCTTCATCTGATATTCCTCAAGTGTAAATGATATAGCTTTTGGCTGAACTCATGATGAAGGAATTGCACAAAAATAATTCAGACAATCTTTGAAACTGTCCAAATGCCTTGTGGAGATTCCAATGGGTTATATTTGTTTATTGATATCTCCAGTTTTACCCCAAAAAACATCTTCGTGGGTTACAGAAAGAATGTCTTGTTCACTGGGTGCGATTCTTGGTTAAAGGACTCAGTAGTTTTCCCCTTGTAGGTAACTGATGATGGGAAGTACAGTTTAGTACTTGTATTTGAAGCCAAAGCATTGGAGATATCCGATTTTGAGAAGAGACAGGTGAATCCCCTCTCCTAATTTCTAAATATAATACAGCACGGCTTCCATTGTGGACTGAGATGCATGTGGTATGCCTTTGTGGTCAGATCTAGATACATGTACTAGTCTTAAGCTCTATACTAAACTAATCTCATGTTACAAATACATGAATTTTTAGCAGCTTTGGGTTGTGGAAAAGATGAGGTTCAAAAATTAGCAGTAGAAGAAAGTGTAACCCAAAACTTGATGCTCAAAAATGACAAAATTCTGTGCCTAGATAGCTCCCATAAACTATTTCTTTGATGTACTGTGTACTTGGGCGAGCTGTTCGAGAACAATACATACTGTCGTCATGCTTATGATCCAAAATAGAATTAAATATTAACATTACTGATTCCTTGCAAACATTTTTCCCACGCAGGCCAAATTCACATCCTTTTTTGGTCCTGGGATTAAGGCAGAAATTGGTGAGTTGTATTATTTTTTCTTTAGCTCCATTAGATTTTGAAGCTTGGTTTGTCTATATCATCCATTGTCAATTTATGTTTCTGATGATACAGGAAAAGGTGGTGATGATCTATATGAAGTTCGTCTTATCTCAGAAACTACTTAGGAAACACACAGGACTCGCAGTTTCCTTTTCTGCTAATATACCAGAAAAATGTTTTTTTCCCTTGTTCCACTAATTTGTGTATATGATGTTAGTATTCTCAGAGTTCTGCCATTATATGCATCATGGCTGCTTTTCTGTCTACTGGTTATAGTCTGTGTGACGGAGAAATAGCATTTTTCATGTGCTTTTGTGCACATGCACAAATGAAAATGTGGCTGTAATATGCATGTAAATTGACTGGATTCACAGAGTTCTCCATACGTAGTAAAATAGTAGCTGACATTATTTTGGAAATCTTGGAGCAGTAGAATTATCCTGGTTTCTTACATTCATAAATTGTCACAATTTCTGAAATATCGTTTACCAGGGTTAATTGAAGATAGTTTATGGCTGAACTTATGTTCACATGCAAACAAGTGAACTTTTCAGTGAAGGACTGGAACATCTGTAGAAGATGTAGAAAATATTCCTTCCTATGACAGATCTGAGGACCACAGAAGATGAACAATAACACAAACCATCTCTTTTTAGGATCTGATCTGGATCTGGACATAACTGACTGCTGGCAATGGTATATCCTTCTTATATGAGCATAATTAATTACAATCTCAACAGGACCAGAACCTGGACCAGAAGATAAATTTTTACCAGATGGCAGGGCAGAAAACTGAATGTTGCAGAAGTCAATTGTTTTGAATCCAATTCCATCTACAGAAGCTTCAGGTGAATCCAGAGTAGATTTCAAAATGACAGATCCCCTGACCAATGAAATCAGAATGGTTGTTAACAGCACAATACACAGACTGACAATAGCAGTTTCATCTGTAAACAGGCTGCACATGCAAAAAGAGAAGCTACTTTTTGAGGGTAGAAACCAGTGCATGGGGCATGTGACATATGGATGTATTTGTGCAATTTCCACTCAGGTGATGCAAGTCATATGCCTCTATGAGGAACACATGTTTTTTTTCTCTAATTTAGGCCTAAAAAGGGGCGTTTAGACTGTGATCACTCACTAAGTCGCTACTGAAGAAAATGGTTAGTAGGAATGTAGGGTGATGCTGATGCATGTCATGGTCAAATAAGGAATCTTATGACCAGCCAACTATGTTATTGTCCTTTGAAGAATAACTAACAATTTCGTGATCCCATCACTAATTGAGCTCTGCTTGATCCATACAAGATTTGCAATGCTGATGTGTCCTAGATCTCCATGGCTGTGTGCGTCCTTGATGCAAATACCAAAGGTGTTCTGCACTTCTTCATTTAACTAAGTAAAAATGTGGATCTAGATCTTCCATGAACCAGGTTGGAAAAGCTGAAAGAACGAAAAAAAGAATCATACAAGAAAGTTTTTCATCGACAACGTCTTTTGGCGTCGCAAAGAAAGTTTTTCATCGACAGCGTCTTTTGGCGTCGCAACCTTCATGAAGGCGTTGTTTTTGGAATTTCTGCTCTGTGGTGTTGTTGCAAGCCCGGTGGCGACCGGCCTCGCATAGCAGCGGCCGGTTCGGTGTTCGGCTCTCCTCTCTGTAGCTTGTGTTGGTGCGGTTGGCATGTGGTGTCGGGGCGTGTGTTTTGGTGCACATCTTTCCTCGACAGCGAAAAACTTTCTTGTAACCTTTTTTTCCCTCTATCTTAATAACATTTGGATGACCTCCTTCGGTCATCCCGGCAAAAGAAAAAAAAGAATCAATACAGGCATTAAGATAGGGATCGATTTTTTCAAGGAAAAAGAACGGCTACTCTAAGCCAACGCCATATCAATGTAATGAACAGAAATACAAAACCAAAATGCAATGAAACTTAAACATTTTCACCCCCCACATTTCTTCAGGTTTGGCATTACATTTTCTTCACAAGCTCAACCGTTCGTCTTCCCATAAAACAAATCACACTCACAATGCTGAAATGCTGAATCAGCTGTCACGATGCAGGCAGCTGCAGCCAAAAATCTACGAGCAAATTGAGAAAAAGCAATGCATGTTCTTCCTCCACGCCGTCACGTGCATCGGAGTCCGTGCACGGCGCGGCATTCAGATCTTCCTCCCGCCGGCGCACGCGCTGACACGCCGGGGGGGGGGGGGGGGTGTTGGTGAGCTAACCAGCCTCGCTGGTGCTCATTGCATTGCATGTGGGTACAATTTGCCATGCTGTTTTGTTGTTCAGACCTCTCATGTGGAAGCATGCCTCCCTCCCTCCTCCTCTGCATGCCTGCAGACTGCTACTGCTAAGATGCAGGTTTTCTCAATTAGGCTTTAGATTAATCTTTAATCTTCCTTCCCCCCAAGTGTCACATTACCCTTTACAACTATCTTCTAGTTGTCTCTAATGCACTTTTGATCTCACTTAACCTGTGGACTACTACTAGGAAAGATTGTTAACCAGATCAGCCTTTTGACAAAAACCAGGGCCAGAAGGCCATCACTTTAACTGAAAGTGTGTTTACATTTAACAACTCAATGAGTACCCAACTTCTAGCTAATCATATAAGGAGGAATAACTTTATTGTGGATTTCATTATTTTTCCAACCTTGATATGGTACATTAATTTTCTTTGTGTGTACTTGATGGTCAAGGCACACATATGAAGTTCACATGACATCAATGAGATTGATGCTATAAATATGTTGTCCAAGGTCCATACACAATATTCCAAACTCCCTTTCTTCTCCATTTCTCAAAGGAACCATGAGGAGTAGTACTACCTTTGCCAAGCCAGCTGTGGCTATCCTCTCTGCTCTGCTTCTCCTCTTCTTCCTTCTTTGCAACTCTTCAACATCATCACCCCATGAACAACCTTCTGTTCTAAGGAGTAGAAGGTTGTTGTCGCAATGCGATGGCACGGGTTCATGCTCGACACGTGTGGACGGGCTTGGAAGGTTCGAGAAGACTCCGAAGGCGGTGTTTGAGAGCTTGAAGAGAGTTCCCTCAAGCAAATCAAATCCATCACATAATTAGTTCACCTCTTGTAAGTAGCAAATGCTTTGAGTTAGTTTTCTTCAGTTTTTGTCCTCACTTCTTGGGTCCTTTTTTTGTAGTGGATGCCTTCAGGTGATCCATTCAGTTTTTAGATTTCTAGTGTAGGTGTCTGGTTATGTAATTTGTATTTTGATGGCAAACTCTAGCTACCTCAATTGCAGCCAGTCATGTACAGTTTCCAACTAAATTAATTTGTTGACCCTTTTGTAGACTGCTTAATATTACAGGAAAAAGGCATAACAAAATGTAGTGAATTTGTTCTTCTTGCACCAGATTCTGAATATTTCTGTGCATCAAATCGATATGATTGCTTAGTGTCAACGCTTCATTTCTCTCAGCCTTCATGCTAAATTGCAATAATTTTTGTTGCTAATAGCAAAAACATTTGGGTGAAATGTTAAACAATTTGCTTCCCAAAACAAAATCTGGAAAAGTGGGGAAAACTTGGAGCTGTAATAAGTTCCCAAATGGCAGTGACTCTTGTGTTTAGATTTATACACTTCGCAAGGTTCAGGAAGGGTTTACAGAGGCAGACGAGCTGTTAGATGATGAAGTGTCAGAACTAAAATGGTAGTCTCATCTGCCACGATAATCAACCACTCGTGGTAAATTCTAGATGACAACATCGACAAAACAGGTTCAACACAAGGAATGCCAATGGATGAAGCACAAACCCAATTGCCTCATTCTGATGTGATACTGAATTTGTAGTTGCTACCCACCCTGAAAACCTCAGCTGTTTGAGAATGATAGTGCGTTACTGTTTATAAATCTATTATTCAGTATCATCGTGCTTCAGAAGAAACTACAAAAATCCTTTTTATATATATATCATGCTTCTGCATAAACTAAAACAATGGCATACTGCATTACAGAAAGGTGAATAAAAACAATAGTGAGTTCCAAATACTCTGAATAATGATAGTACTCTACCTGCACTTCAGTTTCACCCTGTACATACCACATTAACTAATCACGTCAGAGTTTCAACTCTGATGAAGACAGAACAATGAACATCTTCAATATACTTCCCTTTCACATGTTTCAAAACCTCCTGCCAGACTCCATCGAGTCTAGAACCAGGCTTGTGTCTCTCAGCGCAACAGCACCAGCGCCTTCATGGAAAGCGTCGGTCTCTGTCCATCCCATGTTGTGTGAGTTTTCATTACCGTTGCTTCGTGACTCGGCTAGCAGTTGGAAGTGAGCATGAGGCCATATAGCTGCGGATGAAGAGAAACATAACACTTTAGTAAAATGTTGTCGATCAACGTCTAAATCATCATCGATATATAGGAGGGGAATGTACCATCAGCATCAAATGGATATGGGAAAAATTGCAGGTAACAAAACGAAGCAACTGTGAGACCTGAATAAGGTAGAGAATGAGATGAATTACATGTACTTATCTTGAGAGCAAGAATGTTTAAAGTGGTACAGAAGCGTTGAAACTACAGACCTATAATGCCGCCTGCAAATACATCTTGCCAGTGATGCCAGTAATCGTCAACCCGAGAGACTGCCACAAGTGATGCAACAAGTAGAGGCAGAAAGACTAGGCATAGTTTTGCAATATGCCCTTCACGTTTAAAAGCTTTAAGTTTGCCTGCTAAGTACCACGCAAGAAAACCCAGACCAGCAAAAGCCCCTAAAGTAATGAAGAAAGTATCGAAACAGATACATCAGATTATCTACCAACACATAGGGAAGGATAACATGTTATGGGTATGGCCATGAAATAGCAATCTCCAAACCATTACTTTATAGAGAACAAACTGCTGATATGGGGATGCATGATAGAACAAAAAAACCAAAATACAAACAATTTGGAAGAAAACAAGAATGAGATTAAAAAAATTAATCTGCTGGCTCCTGGCACCTGAACTCGCAAATACAACCTATATGCATTAAGAGATGCATTCAAATACAATTTCAATTGTTAAAAAAAAAAAAACTAACTGCTCAATAGCATGGGATTTAAACTAGTAGAGAAACAGTTCATAGTTAAACCTTCTTCCCAGCTTTCCTACATAGTTCCCAGGAAGCCAGGAGCACATATATACATGAGATATTAATATTGCAAGAGCAGTATCAAATAATGCTCAGGTATAAAACCTGAAACAACCACTAGACTAAACAGCAGTGATGCAAAATAACCATTGGAGAAAATCCGTGGAAACGTACATGATGTAGAGAGTGTGGGATAAACTGATGTAAATAAATGCATGTCACAACTCACAAGTACTCAAAAATAATGAGGAGCACCACAAAAACATAAGGCATAAATCATAATGAAATTTGAACCAATGAGAAAATTACTTACAGTTAAGTTACAACTTCAAAAAAAAAAAACCTAAAGCATAAGACATCATATCTAGAGTACAACTGTGCACTGTTTATTACCTGAAGAATGCCCACTTGGGAAGCTCTTGTAGCCTTCCTTGATGACACTCCTTTCTCCATGGCATATGACATCACCAGTGACATTATTGAAATTCTACAAAAACAAAAATAATTGATTACTTTTAATAAGGTAAAGGATGTTTACCTTGTTTCTGTACAATTTGCTTAATCTATGGCACAAAAAATAATTCTTTAAGCAAGTAAATCATAGAAGTAAATGGAATCCCTGTACAGGTCATATTAATCTGCATGTCCTTAACATAAAAGGTTTTATTTTCCATAACTTCTGTAAAAAAAAAAGAAATAAACAGAACTAAACCAAGTACATGTCGATAGGAATGAAATTGCTTAAGGAGAGAAATCAGAATTTACAAAAGGATATTACAGGCTTTCCATCAGGGAAACAACGCCAAAAGAAATCTGGGCGTGGGCGACCAACACCATTCTTAATTGCATCAGTAATCACAGCAGTTATAAGCACCGAATATAGAATCCCTGTACAAAGTGTCCAGTTCAGCATGAACTAAAAAAGTGAAAGTGTAATTTGATAGATATCTACATATGAGAGTACCATATACCCAGAATGCCATGGTGCAAATCATAGACATTTTTCTTTTTGAAGTAAATTCCACCAAAGATGGCCCAGGGCAGCACAATTGCAATCAGCTGGAAATCAAGAAAAACCAAACTTCCTCAGAGACATGTCATGCACCACAGACAAGTCAATAGATGATCTTATAAGAAAATTAAATCTCACAAAGCAAGAACATACTGGAACAGCCCAAAATGGAACTGTATTGCCCTTCAGTGGATATCTCAAGTCTGTCAGCATGTCACTTCCAACGAAGCGGTGAAAAGGCTCAATTATGTTGAACAGCCCATAAACAACAGCTAGAAAGATAAGTATCATCCAATCATACAAATGGAATTTTGCCACTTTAATGCCATGAGATCCTATAGTATGGCACCCTAACTGGGTATCAGCCATTATCCCCTAAAATTGAAAATAAACAGAAATGAGTTCATAGTCAGAGAAGGAAAATTGTAAATAACATGAAGGTGATGGATGTAATCCAGTGGTGTTAGGAACATGGAAATGAATAAGGAACAACAAAGGATGTCATGATAGATCATAATCATAAATGTGTTCCGAGTTGCTATTTTCTGTCTTGACAAAGCAATAAAACTTTTCAGTTGGGGTTCTCCAGAATATATAGAACGTAGATGCTGTTTGATCAAAAGTATAAAGTATTGAAAAAAAATGAAAACTACATGTTTGCAGCAATCAGAAAACAGTTAATGAAATTGCAGTATAGGGTGGAAAAAAGTGGCATCAGAACTCATGTAAATTCTAACGTATAACTGTATTTACAAAAGGCATACACCACACAAGTGAGATCATCTTATTCTGTGGGATCCAATTTACTTGGCACTTCGAAGGGCATGTACTATTTGAAAATTCAGAATAATACAAACAATTTACGATATCGATAGCCTACAAAAGGTAGAAGTTCCAAGGCTGTGGTCAAACACTTCAATGTAGCCAGCAATTCACAATAATCACCCATTTCAGTAGCAACAATTCATTCAATCTAAGCTGAAGTCCTGAACCAGCCACCTGATTGAGTACTGAAGTATGAGTGTTTTATTGATAAGATTATACTCATGGCCCGATATTAAAATTTCATCACTGTCATGTGGCCACTTTGGACTTTGCTTGGAAACAATATTCATGCAATCCCTGAGTCCAGTATTTACAGAGTATGAAGTATTCAGTATGACAATACTTAACATGACAATTAATATTCAAACTTTCACCATCAGTAATTTTTTAAATTGTTTGATTATAATTCGTTTGGTTGTACTTGTTGTTAAACTTCCATAATACTAATAGAGTTGACCACCCCACATAAGTCCAAACCTCATATCACTAAAAAATGATAACAGATCTAAACAAAAGCCTTATCATGTTATTAATAAAACAAAAGTAACAACATAATGAAGTACAAACTACCCCTAAAGCACCTTAACAATCTTTGGAAAGGGAAAAACTAAGAAAAAAAATCTCAAATTATCGAGAACTCCACACGGAGAGCACAACAGGTTCTTTCTAATGAATTTCACAGGAAGAAAAGAATAACTGACAGGCTCACTGCCCCGCTGGCGAGATACCAATGGCTCCTCCTCCTCCAGCTCGCACCGACGAGATATGTTACAGTTCTGCCAGATAAAGAAAAATAAAATCAAGAAGTAAAGAACACGGTCACCCCCCCAACCCAAGTGGTCGGCAGGAGAATCTAATCTGAGAATCCATACATGAAATAGATTGGAAATGAGAATGTAAAAAAGAAGAAGAAAATGCGTGCTGCAGACTGCACAGGGTGCTCACCTGGGATCTCGGCGCCGGAGTCGCCCGCAGCGTCGCATTCCCCGGCTTGCCGCGCGGCCGCGAAAGCGAATGGATGGATGGAGACGATGCTGAGTAGCAGCAGGAGTGCAGGAGAGAGGAGGCAACGCGGAAGCAGCATCCCGCAGCAGAAGATGAGGGGAGAAAAGTCCTTCTCTTCTCTGATGGACACGTGTCCACCGCGAATCTGATAAAAGCCATTCTCTCTTCTTAAAAGGCCTTCTTTGGACAGGACTTCTAGTCGGGAGTGGATTTTTTTAAAAAGTTCGATATAAATATTATCTCCGTCCCAAAATAAGTGCAGCCGTAGATATCTGTGCCCAACGTTTGACCGTCCGTCTTATTTAAAAAATTTGTGAAAAAATTAAAAATATTTAGTCACACATAAAGTACTATTCATGTTTTATCATCTAATAGCAATAAAAATACTAATCATAAAAAAATTTCAAATAAGACGAACGATCAAACGTTGAACGTGAATAGTGCAAAACTGCACTTATTTTGGGACGGAGGGAGTAGTTGTGAAGAATTACGAAAAATATTGAAAATGTTGAGATTCGTGATATCTATCTGAAATCAAGTTTAAATTCGACTAACACATCGAGAAACAAAAATGACAAATTTAGATGTAAATAGTACGTTACTATTCCTGCGCTAAATTTGTCCTTTTTATATCTCAACGTGTGATTTGAGTTTGGACCTAATTTTTTCAGAATTTTTCATAACCATTTGAATTTTTTTTAACAAAACAAGGAGGTATCCCCTCGAGGGATCGAAATAGTTTCCCCTTCCAATCTAATGGATTCGCTGGTACTAAGAGTGAAGAAGATCCTAAGCAATAGGAGTAAGGCTTATTCGGTTTTAATAATTTTTATAGGGTTATAGTATAATTTAAATCTTAGAATTTTTTTCATATATGCATCATTTGTTTTATAGGAATAGATCGTATCGAATTTCGGTAGTCTTAAAACAACTTTAGCCGTGTTCTTTAGTGGGAGTTGGCAACTCAAACATATAAAATAAAGCTGTTCATTAGTGTGTAATTAATTAAGTATCAGTTTTTTTTAAAAAAAAATCGATCTATATGATTTTATAAAGCAACTTTTGTATAGAAATTTTTTTAAAAAAATCACACCGTTGAGCAGTTTAGAAAGCGTGTGGACAGTTAACGAGAGAGATGAGTTGGGAAAGCTAACCAAAGACCTCAGTCTTGCACTTCAAAAGTTTTGTAACAAATACTCCCTCCGTCCTAAAAACCTAGGTTGGATGTGATTCCACTTAGAACAACGAATCTAGATAAAAGGTTATCCAAATTCGTCGTCCTAGGTAAAATCACGTCCCCACCTAGGTTAGCATTTTTTGGGACGGAGATTTTACCTCCCCACCTAGGTTAGCATTATTTCGGACGGAGGGAGTAACATTTTTTGGGACGGAGGGAGTATAGTGCATATGGCATTATAATTCTTTACTTTTTCTATTTCTATGATTTGGAAATCCTATGATGGCTCAATTTTCTTCCTCGTATAACTACTACATTGTTATGGAAATGTGGAAGTCAGGTATCACATTCTCAGATTTCAAGGAAACCAATATGCTCATGTAAAAATCAAGACAAATTGACCCTCCAAACCGCACCTCATTTGTTCTGTTTGTAACCAATATCTTGCTTCAATACAAACAATAACTATGAGCAGCCTTCAAAAACAAAACAAAAAATAACTATGAGCATTTACACAACGGAGCAACTAAAACTGCAATAAACTGGATCAGACAAATCAGCAACATTTGTAATTTACATTGGGACCAATTTCAGCACAACCAGAGCGTAGGATAGGTACATCAGCAGGGTAACAAAGAGGACTGTGGAATATGATTAAGAGTGCAAACTCCCACTGTAATTTACAGCCAACACCCACAACGAGTTTAAGTCAGCATATAACGGCCAGCACCGAGTTGCAAGGAACTCTCAATGATGAGACGATCACCTGAGATGACAAGCACAATTCTACCTGGCAAAACTCTACCTATTCTTGCGCAATGTACATGGAAATGGGGGAACCGTACGAACTAGTCATGTTGTAGAACTTAAAACTCAGAAAGGCCGAAGAATCCACACAACATCAAGATACTTGTCGCCTCATGTTTCAGCCTCTCCTACCAGACTCCATCGTGTCTAAAATAGGACTGGTGTCTCTCAGGGAAATGGCACCATGGCCTTCGTCAGCAATCTCAATGTCTGTTGGTCCCATGTTGTATGAGTTTGCAATGCCGTTGCTTTGTGTGTCAGCTAGCTGTTGGAAGTATGCATGGGGCCATACAGCTGCAAATGCAAAGGAACATGAATATACTGTAAAATATGTCGATCAAGGTCCAACATATCATCTATATCAGAAGGGAAACGTACCATCAGCATCAAATGGATATGGGAAGAACTGCAGATAACAAAACGAAGAAACCGTAAGACCTGAAAAAGGGGAAAGAAGAATGAGACGAGATCCATGCCTACTTTCTGACAACGAGAGTGTTCTAAATGGTTGAGAGAAAGGCTTCAAAATAACAAACCTATAATGCCACCTGCAAATACGTCTTGCCAGTGATGCCAGTAATCATCAACTCGAGAGACTGCCACAAGGGACGCAACAAGTAGAGGCAGAAATACTATGCATAACTTTGCAATGTGGCCTTTGCGATCAAAAGCCTTAAGTTTACCAGCCAAGTACCACGCAAGAAAACCTAGACCAGCAAAAGACCCTGCAGAAGGTGAGTGAGAACCACAACACATACGTCAGATTACAGACAACAGATCCACCAAGTAATGAAATTCGAAAATATATGGAGAACAAACTGTATATGGTGCTACATGCCAGGAAAAAATTATATACTCCCTCTCCTCTGGTCATGAAAAGCTATTGTTTTGAACACCCCTCTAGCAAAACTTTCAAAACTTCAACATCAAATCTCTTTAATTATTATTAGATAAATGAAAACTATATTCATAGATTTGTTTGACAATTTTATAGCACTATACTTTAATCTGATTATACAAATAATTTACTATAAAATCAGTGGTCAAAGTTGTATGTCAGATATCATGAGGATGTCCAGAAACACATTTTTCTGTACAGGAGGAAGTATAAACAATTATAAGAAAAAGATGAGCTACACCATTTATTTGATAGCCTCGGAGTCTTAATCATAGATACAACATATAGGTGTTAAGGGTACCAACATGAATAAATTCAATTTTTCAATAAATGTCCTACATAGTTACCAAGAGAATATAGCATTGAATTTAAACTAGTCAAGAATTTCATTTATTCATAAATGTCCTGCATAGTTACCAGGAGCACATCAGATTGGAGAGCAGTACTCCGAACAATGCCCTACATGAAGGCTGAGGCAACTACTAAAATACTCGGAACTGTTGCAAAAGAAAAAATTGGAGAAAAATCCTTGGAAATGTATGTAGAGAATGTGGAGAAACAGATGTAAAAAATGCATGTTGCAAGGCATGTAAAGCTCGATATCAACTCAGAAACATACAACGGTACTTCAAAACTTAAAAGTACCGATGCGTTGCATGTCTTACATGAAGAATGCCCACTTGGAAAGCTCTTGTGGCCTTCCTTGATAACACTCTTTTCTCCATGGCATATGACATTTGTAGTGACATTATCAAACTTCTGAAAAATGAAACGATTTGTTACTTCAATATAACCTGCAGACTACATGAAGTTTAATATCTGAGATCAGGACACTAGCACAAGGAGATTACAGGTATTCCATCAGGGAAACAACGCCAAAAGAAATCTGGGCGAGGACGACCAACACCATCCTTAATTGCATCAGTAATCACAGCAGTTATAAGTACCGAATATAGAATCCCTGCACAAACTCTATGGTTAAATTATATGGTTCAGCATGAACCAAAGATGTAACTTCAATAGATATCTACAAATGAGAGCATCGTATACCCAGTATGCCATGGTGTAAATCATAGACATTTTTCTTTTTGAAGTAAATTCCACCAAAGACAACCCAGGGCAGCACAATTGCAATAAGCTGCAAGTCAAGAAAGAATTGCATGCCTCAAACGATAGATGAAACCATAAGAAAATTTTATCTGGCATAACGAGAACATACTGGAACGGCCCAAAATGGAATTGTGTTGCCCTTTAGTGGATATCTCAAGTCTGTCATCATGTCACGTCCAACAAAGCGGTGAAAAGGCTCAATTATGTTTAGCAGCCCATCAACAACAGCAAGAAAGAGAAGTATTATCCAGTCATACATGTGGAGTCTTGCCACACTGGTTCCATGGGACCTTATAGTGTGGCACCCTAACTGGATATCAGGCATTTTTCCCTGTAAAATCAAAAAGGAAGCTTGGAATCAGCAGGGCAAATATAACTAACATGAACGTGGTCAATATGAACTAGTGATCATATGAGTGTGCAAACAGAAAGGATGAGAAAGGTTTCTTGATAGGCTGAAATCATGCATTGGTCACATTTTACCTGTCTTCAGACAGCAATAATATTTTGACTCTATAAAGCCCAGTAGTCTAGAATACCTACATCTTTGAAGCCCTTCAAGCATATTTTATCATTTATAAAAAAATTTAATGGAAAACTTCCTGTTAGATTAAATACAGTTAAATAGTACATTGTTGTTTAGAAAACGAAAGGGAGATGCAGAATTAATACAAAGTCAAACCCAGTCCTAGAAAAGAAACACGAAAAATGAGATAGAACTTTTGTGCAGGAGACCAAGTCTTGAAGTTTGAATATCCATGTCAAATCATGTATCGCTAAAAACTGAGAAGATGTTCTGCAAGTATTGGCAAGCCGCAACCCTTTTTATATGCCTCACGCCTTGACCTTGCTGTATATCCCTCACAACTTGAAAGGGCAAAGGGTATTTGAAAAAGTTTGAACAAACAAGAACATGAAAGAAGGTTCAGGATTGTAATGCCTAATAACTGGACCTGTTGTGATATCCAAAACACGACAACAAACTAGAAATTCCAGGAAGTTGATGATAACCATCCATTTCATTTCAAACCCAATTACAAAGCTAGAAAACCTATCACATTCACAAAAACTCATTCAACCTAAACTAAACAGCATGTGATTGAGTAGTAATCTGATTTTTTTCTTCTTTTTTTTTATTGATGCCATGGTGTGCATTTCTAGGTAGAATTTCCCCCTTGTATGAAACAGTAATAAGCAGCAGTTTATCATTATTAATATGTGCCATTCATTTTTTTACTTTAGTGAACAGTAAAGACTAGGGGAATAAAAACAATTCAACGGATCCATAAATCAGTTGCAGGTTATATGAGCTTATGAGCTGTTAAAAATCCAAGACAGAAGAATCAGCAGCAAATTTATAGAAAGGGGCGTAATCTGTTTACTGATGAGTCGACAAAAGATGTCTAGAGTTGACTGGATACGTCACCAGTCCAAACCACAGCCGCTGAAAAGGTAAACAACAAACTTAAACAACCTTATCCAGTTGAACCAAAAAAACCTAGCATTTCTAGCAATAACAACCTAGAAAACACCCAATAATCCTAAAAATAGGCACCCATAAACGAATGAGAATCACTGCAAAAACAACGAAATCACTAACGAGAATCACTGCAAAAACAACGAAATATTCCCAGGTAAGAGTGCCCTAAGAGATATGTGCATAAATCTCACAGGAAGAAAACGAGGATTTCTCTTTAGAACAATAATAAAAGCAACGAAAGAAATCAAGAACCAACAGCTTCACCGGTCCCTTGGTCGAGATGACTAACAACGAGCCCTACAGATCGGCGCCTCCTCCTCGTGCTCTTCCTACAAAAACAAAGGGGGGCAAAAAACAAAACAAAGAAAAAAAAATCCAACAATAAAGGTTACACCAAAGCAATCTGCAGTTGCAGGAGAATCTTCCACCCACGGAAGAAAATGAAACAAAAAAAGAAATAAAGAAAGAAAGAAAGAAAAGACGCACCTAGATAATCCCGGAGTGCCGCGCGCGAGGTCACATTACCGCGGCGGCGGCGCTGGAGACGCGGGGGAGTGTGGGGAGGGGAGTGGAGTGGAGGCGCTGGCCGGAGAGTGACGGGGACACGGGGTGAAGCCGCGGAGGGGAACGAAAAGGAAGCAACTGGAGAATTGGAGATGGGCCACGCACCGGTGGCTGTGATGCATCTGTGGCCGTCGGTTATAGACCCCACGGGCCACCGTAAACGGCAGAGGCTAAACCCCTCTCTTTTTTTTTTGGCAGTCAACGGTCAAACCCTTTTTTTAAAAACAGAAGGAAAATTTTCTTTTGCGATTAGGCATAATTAATGGTTTTTTGAGCGTACCCGTTCGAGCAATTATACTGTTTTTCACTTTGATCTTATTGATTTTATTGTAAATTTAAAATTTGCACTCTTATTTTTTTACTTGTCAAAAACACTGTTCTACGACTTAAATGTTGTGTTCAGCTGTTAGGGCTGGGAACTAATCCCTCGTGCATGCAAGACGGAACAACTCATTTGTGTATGATTAATTAAGTATTAGCTATTTTTTACATGAATTTTTAAAAAAACTTTCGTATAGAATTGTTTTTTTTTTTCAAAAAATACACCGTTTATCAATTTGAAAAGCGTATGTGCGGAAAACGAAGAAAATGAATTAGAAAAATAGGGTAAAGAGCATAACCTAAGGGTGTGCTCTTTCCAGCTTACAGGATTAGATTCTCCTCGTTTTCCATTAACACGCTTTTTAAACTGCTAAACAGTATATTTCGTACAAAAACTTCCTATAAAGAAGTTGTTAAAAAAACCAACAAATTTATTCATAAAAAAATTATATATTAATACTTAATTAATCATATGCTAATCGTATTTCTCGTTTTGTGTGCGCCTAAGCTGTCCACCACCACCGCTGAAACGATCGCACCCTAAGTTAATGCTTAATAAATAAGTCGAAAATAGGAGATAGCAAGCACATGTGTATAACCATATGTTAATTTACATCTGGGACATCCCAATTTCCCAAACACTTATTGTGGCATAAACTAATTTCTCAAGATTCCAAAGAAGACAAAAGCCAATGTTCACTCAATGGTGCTTATGATTGCAACAGCCAGCATGAGCTGTGCATTGCGCGTGACAAGCCATAGTCACGTTGCTTCCTTTTGTGTAGGCCACCGGGTAACTAGGATCCAATAAAAGCGGAAAAGAAGCCAAATTCTCAACCATGCCCTACCTCTCCAAGCTTTATGCCTGGACAGCATCATGCTTGGCACAAAAGAACAGAAACAAGAGCCTAAGCACAGTTATTAACTTATTATTAGTGGTGATCTTCCATCTCAAAAAAGAAAAGAGTGGTAGTATATCTTGTCCTAAGCTATGTCCAGCCATCCAGGATAGGGTGGTCCTGGCCCCCTTCTTCAATGGAAGACCATAGAGCATACAGCAATGTGCCTTGTTAGTTGTTAGAAAGCATACAGCAAGATCTAGTTGAGATGGATATAGTATTGGACAATGCTTTAGCTTGCTCATCTGAGAATCACTAAAGTCAAATTTCACAGATGAACAAAAATTATGACAGTATGTTTGGTCTCAACACCCACTTTGAACTTCTACAGCAAATGCATGTAAAATGTCAGTGTACCATATTACAGATTACATGCACAATGAAGCATTCCATTACCTCCAGAACTGTTCATTACAAATGCAGACAGCGCTACATGCCAACAGTATATCCCAGTACATATCAGTCCATTTCATTTTGTTACAACAACAGAAGCCAAGTATTTGAAGGATCAACATCAACTAAGGAAACAAGGTCAAAGAATGAGTTCAGCATACAATTTCTTTTGAATTTGTTATATTTCTAGGGGCACATGTAATATACCTATATTTATAGGTTTTGTATAACAAGTGGTGCACTGACGCATGGTACACCTGTTTACAAGGATACATCCTACGAGTTCTGTGGGTTTACCTATATTTTGCGCAGCTGGCCATGTCACATGGCCAACCTTGGAAAGTTTGTTCAGCTCAACTCAAAAACCATCTGAGGTGAACATATATTGTATCATTGACTCCGCATCGTATTGAAATTTCAGGAGCTTCACTGTTACATAAACTACTGATCATGGTGAGAAAGGAACTCTATGATGCATGGGTAAACTTCATCCGTTGCCTGTACAAGGGACAAACATGTGTAAATCATGAGTAAGAGGATGACAAAAAGATTTGACTTTTCAGAATTGGAGCAGCAAATTTTATTTTATGTGAAGAGACTGAGAATATGTACCAGTCGACCTCCAACTAAGTCATAGTGTGCATAATGAGGGCCTTCTGGCTTTCCAAAAACCCCATATTTCACCATGTGCTGAGGTATGAGCTTGACAGTTTCTGACAAGATGGGAGTATGATGTACAAAAAGTTAGCAATCTTCATAGAAGCAACTGAGATAGCAGACAAGAAAAGCACCACATCTTACCATAAACGGCTTCAGGAGGACAGATGAGATCTTTATCTCCAGCTAGTGCTAGGACAGGGGTCTGACAATATCGCAAATGATCTTTGTATGAGAAAGTTTCAGTTCTATTGCATAGCCCCCCTTCCCGAAAAGCTGTTGTAAGTTGAAGGACAACCTTTGCAGGCACTGTACCTGCAAATTACATGATAACAACTTAAATGAACATATCCAACCCCATTGACAAAAGTTGCTGAAACAGACATCCCATATTTATATCATAGCATAAAAGGTTAATAATGCAGTGTATTATGAATTAATTCTGGAGTACAGAAATCCTATATATGGATACTATGGCATATATACAGTGCTGTGTGTTCTTGAACAATATTCTGGCAACACCCTTTAAAGTAACATTCTGGCAAAGCTGAAATCTTAAAATGCATGACATGCAGAATCCAGTGTGACAGTGTGTAATTAAAGAGTACTCACAGAAGTTGTTAAAAACAAGCTTGGACAACAACTCCGGGTGCATCATATCCTGTGCTGATATTTGATGATTAAGCCAGGAAAAAAGATAAGGTGGACCAGATGCCCAGGGATATGCTGCCGCTAATAATGTACCCAATGGAACAGCAGGGACATTAAGGGCTTGCGCAGGATGAACCTGAGAAGTGAACTCATTAGTTTTATTCATGACAATGAAGGAAGAAAAACTTTAAAAATGAAAAGTAATAAACATCTTTATCAAGTTGAAACTGTCAATCGACTACGAACTCACAAGTGGCAGTAACATCTTCAGTGATGAATTGGATGTCGTGTAGTCAACAGAGGAAGCCAAAGTAACAATAGCCGCTAAGTTTGATGGAACTCCTTCGAAACCTTTGAGATTAAGGGAAAAATAATAAGTCGTGACTTTAAAAATCCACAACCGAAAGATAGTAGGCTGAGCTGTAAACGATCATGATATTGCTTATCAGATGAACAATTTGACTGTGTTTCTAGAATAAATATAAAGGTAAAACTTGTAAGACGTCCAACAATCTACCGTTAACTCCAGAAAGCTGAGCAAAACAAGCGCAGTAGTTGTTGATTGCCTACAGCTAGAATGTTCCCTTTACATTGGATAATTGAATAGTGGCTCCAATTCTAGCAGCAGCAGTAGAATTATACTTCCATAGAAAAAGCAACAGTAAAGGGCAGGCAAACAGTCATCAGCAAAATACAGTGTAATGTCTCACCATATTTTGACAGCATTGCATATAACAAAATTCCTCCCATTGAGTGTCCAATGGCAAGCAGCTTCCCATCTTTTACTCTACTATGTTGTCTAATATATTCCACCTGTAGTAACTGTGTGTCAAGCGATATTCCACAAAAACAATCTTATAACACTAATGATGAAATTATCAAATGGAATAATTAAAAAACACTGTTACACTGTTAGCTCACTGAATATAACAACAGTGCCAACTATTCAACAATTATAGCTCACAAAAGGATGGTGACGCCTCACCGCAGTAGGTATATCCTCCTCCAAGTAATGGTCGAAGTCCCAATTATATTCAGAATTTAGATTCATCTGAGTTGCCACAAAGTGTTCCCATGAGTCAATCTGCTCTTGAAAGTTCTTCAGAAGACGCAGACTTTCTTCTCTCATTGGACCAATAACGGCAGAGCTTTCTACCATTTCAGATAGAACCGAAATCTTATCTGTGATCTCATGAAAATTTTTATTTAAACTAGCCTCTTCCAGAAGTTTTGAAATTCGATCAAAGAAACTAGTCATCTCCATCAGTAAAGGTGGGTCATCCAACGCAACTATTCCAAGGTCATCATAATCAATACCAGAGAAACCAGAACTTTGAACTGAAGCAACCTCCAATGTGCTTGATTTATCAAGAGCCAATGTGCCATTAGATATATCATCGAAAGCGCCTGATGGAGATGAAGCAGAATTATCATGATCACGTATGCTCAGACCAGAACCTCTCACTTCGACAATCCATGTATCAAATCCCTGGTTAGACATGTGACGGGCGAATGAGGCCTAAAAATAATGAGGGGCACCATTAGTATGAACGGCACAGATAGAAAAGAACTTGTTAGCAGAACACAAGACTGCCATCAGTTGTCACTATAGTTGAGGGAGAGCGAAAGATACAACTATTAAAAGAAAAAGATAATGAGATCCTTGATAATCAATAGTACTAAACTTGTAGATAAAACTGTAGCAAGAACACGAAAAATTGAGCGCTTCTTTATCACAACCGTTTTTTTGTGGCAGAAGTTTTTACTGGTTCTCCGGGAAAGTATGTTGGTCTTGCAGAAACTATTATGGGATTTCAACTAATCCTTTCCGGGGAATTAGACGCCCTACCTGAACAAGCTTTTTATTTGGTGGGTAACATCGATGAAGCTAGCACGAAAGCTATAAACTTAGAAGAGGAGAACAAATTGAAGAAATGAAATTAAATGTTTATGCACTAAGCGAATCATTTGGGATTGTGAAGTGAAAGAAATCATTTTATCTACTAGTAGTGGCCAAATTGCCATATTACCAAACCATACCCCCCCCTCCCCCCAATTAACACAGCTGTAGATATGGGTCCCTTGAGAATCGCCTCCTCAATGATCAATGGTTAACGGCGGTTCTGTGGAGCAGTTTTGCCAGAAAGTTAATAATGAGATCATCATTTTAGGGAATGATGTGGAACTGGGTAGTGACATTGATCAGGAAGAAGCTCAACAGGCACTTGAAATAGCCAAAGCTAACATGAGTAGAGCTGAGGGTACGAAAGAATTGGTTGAAGCGAAGCTAGTTCTTAGACAAGTTAGGATACGAGTCGAGGCTGTTAATTGGATTCCCCCGTCTAATTGAAGACAACCCACATTATCTAAAAAAATTGAAGACAACCCAACAGTTTAGTTGATAACCTATACTCCAAATACAAGACTACCATGACTTGTAACCTATAGTTCTTTTGCAACTTGAACCGCATTTTACTTTCAATAATATGAGTTAGATGCAACATAACTTCATTTATTTTTCTATAAAAAAATAGATTAACTTTATTACAGCTTATAAGAAAACAAATGAAGCTCAAGAAACTGAATATTCAGCATCCTCGGTTTTTTCCTCTTTGGAATGCATTTTTTTAGTTGTCTTGATGCTGTTAATCTTATAATATGAGTTAACCCTATCTTCCTTATTCATTGGAGATCATGTTAACAGGGAGTCAGGGACTGTTTCCTCGCATGTGTGAAACAAACAAGAAAATAGTGGGCAAAAGATTACAGTGCTTACAAAGAAGCAACTTTACATGTGATATGACGCACTAAAATTGAACCTGGACATATATGGAATTATGATATAGTAAGTTCAGTAGGTCATTCAACAGTGGCAGAAAAGATAGGAAATATTACATCCGTCACCAAGACCAAGTAGCATATACACTTCCTAAAAGGCGTTGCACCCAGCGTCAAAATATGTGCCAAGTGCACCGGGTGATTTATGAAAAAAAAATGAATTTTCCATTCGGACATGGCAGGCATCACCTGAAGCATGTTCAAGCTAGAAACAATATAACCAGGGCAACTGTGCACGCATGTCATCATGCCCATTTTTGCAACAGCACACGACACTATAACTGTAGCTACCATCATCCTCACCTTTGAGCTTGCCATCACCTCTTGCATCTCCCACTCAGGTGCTTTCTCACTTAGTTTGTCACCTCCAAGCTCTAGCCATCTAAGTATCTAGTCGTTCCTAAACTATAATCGAGGAAAAAAAATGTATTTGTTCAAGGAAAATTTTGCAGTATTTGCTTATGCTGATTCTTCTCATCATGCTTAAAAAGAAGAATTGGAACATAGAAATATGTGGCTTTCATGGTGTTGACCTAAAGCCACTAATATCTTGCTTGATAGCACCCTTCAAAAACATTCTTCTCTTCAAGACAAATAGTCAATAAATTTAAGGATCTAAAAACTATTGAAGGTCAAGATCCTACTATACTTATGCCTTTTTTAACAGAACCTCATGGATGTATGTTGATAATGTGATAGGCCTATGAAAGTATGTAACTCTGTATGTAACACATCACTTTTTGTAATTGTGTTCAAGAAAAATAACTTTGTAGTTGGATATATGCAACTAATGTTTACTTTGAAAAGACAATAAGTTCCAGATTTTTCAACAGAGTTAGATGTATTGCCCCCACTCCCCAGTATACATCATGCCTGTCAATGCCATATCCATCCAACTTGGCATATGGCAACCAAATTGACCCTCAACTTACAATTTGCAGGAAAATTCCAAACAAGAGTAGTTTCAGCAAACACCATCGCTCTCTCCCCATCCCAAATCACTCCAAAAACTTGAGCCATGCATTTACATGATTCCAAGACTCTGGCCACCACTTCCTACCATCTCAGTGTTTAGTTTCAGGCGAGGAAATTCTACATCAGCAGAAAAAGAGTTGCAGTGAGAGAAATCTCTGCTCACCCCGGGGGAGAGATCGAACCCGATGGCGTTCGTCCCGACTCCCGACAGAAGCATCAGCGGGTGGTTCCTCGCCGGCGCCTGCACGAACACGGGCGAGATCAAATCAAATCAAGCACGGCTCTGGAAATTGGAAAACAACGGGAAGAAGCACCACCGGTCGTACATGAGGCGGCGGCCTGTACCGCCAGAGCGCGAGACGCCACCCGGCGCCGGAGACGGGCGCGTGGTGGAGCTCGTCGGCGGTGCAGACGGGCGGCTTCGCCGGCCGCGAGGGGGCCGCCGCGGAGAGGTGGATCGGGGGCGGCGCGTCGGCGCGGATCGCGCAGAGGACGCGGCGGCGGAGGCGAGCGGTAGGAGGAGGGGAGAGTCCCTCGGCGGAGCTCCGGCGAGCGCCGGCGCCGGCGCCGGAGATGGGCTGGAGAAGCATCGGAGTTGCCGTTTTGGGCATTTTTTGGTTTTATTTGAAATAAATTTTTGGGTCGTTATAAACGGCGCTCTTTCTGCGCTTCTTTCAGCCATCAACCTGGCATAAACACTTTAAACAGTCTGTTAGCATTAATTATATACTACTAGTGGTAGTTGCAATTTTGGTAATGTCGGAAAAAAATCAGTTTACTTCCAAAAAAAATACACTTTATGTAGAATTTGGAGTTAACACCTTAACCTTTGCAATTAAGGTGACACATGATGTACGTGCCTTATGGTTTATAATATTGCACCGTTATCTTTCAGTTTCCACGGTAACATTATACGGTAACTCTATCATTTTTTTCGTGCTAACCATGATAATATCGGGAAACGGTAACCCCTACCGGAACAGTAACGGAAAACTTAGTATTAGGTGTAGCCCATAGCCATTCAATCAAAATACGAGATTTAAACTGTTTGTCGCAACAAAAGTATCGTGGTTTAAAACATACTAGTATATTGTATACTTCGGTACATAGACGATCTCAACTCCCAAGGTAAGAAAAAAAAAAGAAGTTTTCTTGTTGTGTATATGCGACACCTATTGTGTTAATTGAAAAGATATATATCGTCCCCCGCAAAAAAAAAAAAGAAAAGAAAAGATATATATATCGCCCATTTTATATTAAATTTTAAAAGCTTTAGTATTAGCATCTTTTTAGTATGATATATGCCAATCACATGTCAGATTATATCACATTATAATTTTATTGGGGTAAAATAATTTAAAATAAAACTAGTGAATAAAATAATTTTAAAGACTATATAAACATCAAAAATGTCAAATTTTTAAATTGGATGGAGAATTAAGACATAAAAACAGCGGCTCTTTTTGAGTTATTGAATTGGAGAAAAAAAATAGCAACCATTTTATATATTGTGTCACTAAGAGTACCTTGTTTCGTTAGAATGGATATAAGGGCATGTTCAACTATTGAGACCGATTCAGGCTTATAAGTTATCCACGTCACACAAGATCTCTTAGTGCTCTCTAGTCATCTCTTGCAACTTGTTGTAGTTTACCAACGTTGCATTGTATATTATGTCTACAATATATGACGGAAGTCACTTATCCTCTTTCCTCATCCTCATGCATAATAAGATAGTAAAGCCTCGTAGGGCTCCGTTTTTGTCCTTTTTTGAAATTTTTTTTCTCCTCGATAGTTGTGGTATGTGGTTTGCAGATGCAGAAGCTCCTCGATTGGGTGAGCAGTGGAGCCGTTCCTTCTTTCTTTGTCCGGTTTCCCTCACTGGTTGTGCCGGTCTCACGCTGCATGCGCGCCACGCACTTCCTTATCATTTTTTTTATCCTGAGAGTAAATGACGTGTGATGGTGTTTATGCAAAAAAAGCTCCTCTTGTTTGAACGGAATAGCACGCACATCCTCCCACCGACCGACACCCTATTCCATTTTATACGAAAAACCACTCGTCTTTCAGAAAAAATACAACACGAAGAAGGGAAAATTCTGCCTACATGGATAGCGCTGTTAAAACGAAAAACACAAGGGTTTTTCCCAAAAACAACCGCATCTACCCTCTCCCATCCCATCCCCAAACTCTATCCTCCCCTACCCGTCCCATCTCCTCCCACGGCACTAGAGCGCCTTCGTTCCTCCCCCACCGTATGGCCGCCATGTGTGTCAAAGCCGGCAATTACGCTCTGTTCTCCCCCTCCCCCTCCCCCCACCCCCTGCCTCTCTAGCCGCCGGCAATGGGGCCGGCCGTGGCGGCGGACCTGGCCGCGAGCGCCAGCCGTCCCTCCCGCCGCACGGGCACCGGCGCCGCGGTGACCTTCGCACCACGCCGCACGGACATGGCGGCAATGGTGTGGTTTCGGCGCAAAGGAGCCAGTAAATCTACATAACAAATGTATAGATCAACCAATTTAATACTTTGAGTCGTCGATAAAAATCTTGACAACAAAAAATCTATACATCTAGTTATGTTTACGTGTGATCTCTTATGAGGGATGCCAGCTAAACTCGGGAGGATTTGTATACATGTTTAGACCATACTCAAAGTAATAACCCTATGTTTTCAGCGCCATGTGATCTTTATTGATATATAGATAATATGAGTATAAAAGGAGGGTATGTGTTCCTAGCCCTATCTTATAGTCTCGAAAGTTCCGATGAGATAGTGGTTAGACGATCACAAGTCAAATTTCTCGGGCTCCTAGTGGATCTTGGGCTTGATCTTGGCTGGACGGGTTGTGGCTTGTCTTTCAATGTTTACTGTACAGCTGTATCCTAGAAGAACTCACAAAGGTATTGTTGGAAGTTTTCGGTATAGTCCTGGTAAAAGTCCAAGTAGGTCTCATGTAGTCTTTTCAAGGTGGGCATGATTTTCTTTTATGAATACATCAGTTCATCTAAAGAACTAGCACTGATGTGCAATCATTATTGCCAGGACATACACTTATCTAGTAGATGGAAAATCTTCTAGTAGTGATGATTTTTAACAAACCGGTACAGATAGAGCAGCACTGCTAATCTGTTTTAGTAATACTTCCTCCGTTCTAAAATGATTGGCGTATTCCACCATGGCAGTGAGACCAAGGAGCACTGACTCCCTTTCTCCTTTGATTCGTACTCCAAGCTGTGCATCGAGCAAGGTATGCTGCGCCGGCGCTTCATTATCCCGCGCATTACCCCATGCCGTCGTCGCTTCGTTGCCCCATGCATGGCTCCACGGCGCCATCGCTTCACGGGTCGTGCTCGCGCCCACACGCCATCCAATTCCTTCGCTCCATCCGCACGAATCACATCGTGTCATCCCAGCCGCTCGACGACCCTGCGTGACCATCCCGCTACGGCCACGATGTCGCTTCCCACTCCGGCCGCGAAGTCGTCTCTCGCTCTGGCCGTGGTGGCCGCGATCCCTGCGACGGCGCCTCCTGCTTTGTCTGCTGCGACCGACAAACCATCTCCTGCTTCGGCCATGTCTTCATCCATCGCCGCCTCCATGTCTTTCCAAAGGTGGGAGAAGAACAGAAAACACCACGGCTGGGTTTTGGCATACGAAACACCGAGAGGTATTCGTTTTTGAATTTTTTTGAGAATTAATATTATTTTTATGGAAAATCGCAAAAGTAGTGGTCAACCGGGAAAAATCGCGAAAGTAGGTCCCTGTCGAACGGGTGCAGTTCGATAGGTCGCCTATCGAACGGCCAGAGCGCGACTGGCGAGGAGATCGGAAGGCTGCCGTTCGACAGGACCTGTCGAACAGCCCCCGTTCGACAGGAAGGGCTGTGTCGAACTGCCCCTGTTCGATAGGATATCCGTCGAACTGGCGCAGTTCGACAGGGTCGCGTTCTCCATTTATTTGTAATAAGTTATTTTTTTTAATAATATGTAATTTATTTTAGTGTGTAAGAAAGGAAAATATTTTTGTAATGTTATATGTATATGATTTAGGGTTTTGATAATGTTTGGTCAGAAATTGTAGTATTTATTTGTTGGATATTTGAATTATTTAGTTTCATTATTTGTATATTTGAATGATAATTTGTCATGATTCATTCGAAGGGTATGCTACTGAGTAATTATCCGAAGAAGTTTATGAAATAGTACTGATAGTACTAAGTTAATCGTAAAGTGTTTCTCAAATAGTACGGACAGAACAGAAATGACTAAAAGTTTAATACAAATAGATAAGTCAAGGACGATCAGTGCCCTTCGCACGCTTGCTAGGTCCTCCCTTCTTCCTATGCCTAATCTGCTCAGTGGGATATGTCAAATTATCAGGGGGGAGCCTATCTCTAGCTGCCTGCTGTGGTGTCACGTCTGGCCCCTGACCGGCCTCCGTCTCCTGCGTCGGCTGTGTGACCTGAGGTGCTGCGTGCCAGTAATCCATCCCTACTTCCCCCTGGGGAGGATCAGTGGAAAAGAAGTCCTCAATGAATGCTGTGCGAGGGGAGTAAGCAGGCATTCCGTGATGCGTCGACGCCGAACCGTACTCATCGTCTGTTTGCACAAGAGGGAGAAACCAAAAAATATGACGTAGTTAGTAACGATACATATAATTAGAAACTAAAGCGTGTCTATCATCATCTGCTTGCATAACTTCTTGAACAGGTCCATCAATCTCTTACTCCTGAATTGTCTATAAAAATTAGCCCCAAAATGTCGCATGCACCATCTGCTATGTAAATCTGGCCATGGCACGGACTGTGTGACATCTTCTTGAAGCTTCTGTATCGCTGATAGCAAACCGGCGTGTCGGTCATGCAGAACACACACATTTAGTCTGTTTTCAACAACACACATTTTAATGTGCCGCAAAAACCATAGCCAGCTTGATGTGTTCTTGCTTTCAACAAATGCAAAAGCAACAGGAACGACATGGCTATCCGTGTCGACTCCGATCGCGGTTAGAATTGTTCCTCTGTACTTGCCTGTCATGAAAGTGCCATCAACACAGAGCAAAGGAATGCAATTTCTAAAGGCCTCTATCATGCACCCAAATGACCAGAAAGCCCGACGAAGAATATTCTCCCCATATTCATTCACCTCATCGAGAATAGCCATGTGTGTGCCCGGGTTTCTTGCCTGCATCACCTCCAATAGTGGGGGAAGATTGTGATAAGAATCCTCATGAGTTCCAAACCTCATCTCCAATGCTTTCTGTTTTGCCCTCCAAGCCTTGTCGTACGATATCTCATATCCGTACTCTTTCTCAACGTCATGCATTATGGTGAAAGGGGACAAAGATGTTTTTCTAACCACCTTTGAATATACCATTTGTGCCACAAATGCCGCTGTCAGGTTTCTGTGCACCAGACGGGTATTCTCCAATAAACACGTATGTTGCTCAACCCTCGAACCTACCCATAAAGTGTCATGTTGTGGCTTGTAACCATGCACTCTCCAAGGACATCCACCCTGTATGCACTTCACGTCATACGTCGTCCTATTTGAAACCTTCACCCTGAACTCACGCTTCTGGACAAATGCCCACCTCTTCACCGCATCTTGTAAGTGACCTTTGTCATGAAACATCTGTCCAACTTTCACCTGCTTACTATCATAACACCAGTGGGCATCTAAACCATCGTTTACCTTCATACGACTCATTGATATGGTCGTCCAATCATCGGGTATGTTAGTTTCGTTGTCCCACAGTGTTGTATCTTCTCCTTCCACTACAAGCGCAAGGTATTCCTCGTTTTCCACTTCCATCTGATCCACTACCACCTCATTCTCCTCCGCTGCATCAACACGCATAGGCGAATCCGGTTCTTCATCGTCCGAGTCGTTGGCCTCACGATTAGTACCACGAACAATGACCTCTCCTTGTGTATTACCCTCTACTACTTCTTCCCCTCGACCTTGCTCAGTCCGCCAAACATTTTCAGCTTGTCCACCTTCCAACGGAGTTTCTTCCACCACGGCATGACTTGACTCCCCCGATCGATCAACACATGTTGTCTTCTGCACCACTATTGCCAGGCTATAGCCTTTCTCCCTTACTTTACTAACAAACTTCCTCCAACTCCCAGTTGACGCAACCTCCACTACTCTCCACTGCCATTCATGTTGACCCCTCACTGGCCACACGGTATTTATGACAAATTTATCGTGCACTGGATCTACCCCAAACATATTATACAACCACCCTAACACGTCGTTCAAACCCATATGCTCCGGTGCATTCAGACTAGTATCATGGAAGGCATATACAGTCAAATCCACCCCGCTATCACATATTTGTATAGGAGCATCGCCATAATACAGACGAATGGGCATATCACCTGACATCCTGATAAAACATGACAAATAGTCTCACGTTTAATCATTTAATCATTCGATAATTACCCTATTATAACTTATACTATATTGCCGTGTACTAATTTACAACTATTAGTAACAAACAACTAGTTTAATAATCCAAATAAAATATAACACCTTTGTATCTATTTTAACACACAACATATCAATAATATGTACTAACTAAGAACTAATTTAACCGTACAATTACTTAAATACCTCTACCAACATTTAGCAATAACAAATATGTGCTAACCATACATACTAACATCGAACAATACGAAACAATTAACAACTCTTAAACCAATTTTTTATTAAACTTTCATATGCATTGTACTTAGGGATTACTAATGTATACCTTAACTTCACTGCTGGAGGGCGTCGCCAACCCTTTCCTCCCGGCCGGCGCCTCCTCGGCCTCCTCTCCGGCCTGCTATCCCCTCCCCTCGCTCCCTCCGGCGCTCACGGCGACGATGTGGCGACTCTCGGCGGCGGCTGGCGATGTGGTCCTCAAAACAAATCGAACTCGCGGCCTGGGTGGACGGGGCTTTAAACCGGCTTGTCGAATGCCCATTGTTCGACAGGGTCGGTGGAGGGCCCTGTCGAACGCCCCCGGTTCGACAGGCCTCGCGGCGCCGGGTGGTGGGCCCTGTCGAACTCCCTCCGTTCGACAGGTGAGCGTGTCGAACGCCAGCCGTTCGACATGCCTTTGTCGACTGCCCGTCGTTCGATAGGTGCCCTATCGAATTGCACCCGTTCGACAGGGACCTACTTTCGCGATTTTCCCCGGTTGGCCACTACTTTTGCGATTTTCCATAAAAATAATATTAATTCTCAACAAAATTCGAGGTTTTTGGCATACGAAGCGGCGAGGATAAGAAAACGAAGCGCATATGCGAGATGTGTCGGGTGCTGCCTTTGAAGTACGACGATGATAATTTTTGGTTTTCTACAATACGTCGATTATTTTTAATCGAAACAGAGGGAATAAATCAGTACTAATAGGGTGACACTCTTATCAACACTCCTAAATGTTGTGTTAGGCCCCTTTTTAGCATTACGTTTGAATTGAACAAGCATTAACAAGTTGGTTAATCTGAATTCAATTAAAAACGTTTGTTCACGTTCGCCTCAATCTGATGAATGCGGGCTTTTCCGGAAAAGCCCTGTTCCTGTTACTCTGTTAACAGCAGGAGTCAGGGACCTTACTTACATCCTGCCATGCACGTTGACCGTAAGACCACATGCAAACAGGTAGTAGTCGTTCTACGCTGGCCAAAAGGTCTCACGGTCAACCAATTAGCGCAGAACAGAGTTGTGAAACAAATAAATAGGGATTCACTATGCATCCTTTCAAAACAAGCTTGGGAACTAACAGTGCTACTGCCTCACTCGTCTAGCACAAGCATCGTCAGATCACATGAATTGTTGCATGCTCAGTGGACTCTAGCACGGGCACAGCAGTATCTCACAAAAGCAGATTAAAGCATCCAAAGCTTAATATATGATTGCAGAGCGATGAAGCATCAAAGCGCATTAAGAAAAACAATCCAAGAATGGTTTGCGTACTCAGTTGGAGCTCCAGTTTCATAGCATCGTTCTACAAGGGAGCACCCATCCCTACCGTCATAACGTAAAATGTTTTCTTCAGTTCACCAGATCCATAAAAGACGGGATGCAACAGAGAAAGGAATTATGTAGAGGGGCCTTCGATTGCTCTAACTTGTCTCGGCTTTAGCGTCCGACTCCTGGGATTTTCCGGCTTCAGCAGCCTTCTCTGCGTCTTGAGGTTTAGACACTTCTTCTAAACAAGGGAGCAACAAAGTCAAAAAAGATGGCATGAGGACTTTTAACAAGCAAGATTACAATTAAAAGGTACTAAGATATATAAAAAAACAAAGATAACTGGCACTCTTATATCAACTTAATTGACATAACATAGTTGTTTAAATTGCTTATAATTGATGCCTAGATGTACTTCAAGTCTGCAATTTCTTGGAGGTACTTCAAATCTCTAGATTTATGTACAATATGATGAATACAAACTGATTTGCAATTTCTTGGGAATGTGCTTCAGTTCTCTAGACGTAAGTACAATATGATGAATACGAGTACACGCGACACTAACCTTAATCTGCACCTAGTGACACTAACTTTACATGCATCAAAAAGTTTCCTAACCAGTATGTAAGTATAATGGTTAAGAAACTTTTGATGCATGTGATTAAGGTTAGTATCATACCTATCACAAAATCAATGCAAGTAAGAAACATATCAGACTAATTACCACCATAATAGTTACAGCATGAACAACATAATTCGGGCCAAACTATTCCAAAATGTGCAGGAGAACCATTAAATAGCACTTTTACTTCTACAATCACAATATCAAGAAACAGTCCTGTATGATGAAAAAAATAGCTTTATCCTATTGAGTTGCATTTATATGTGCCAAGCATGAAAGGTGCAATATTTTGATCACTGCTGTTAAGAGTACGAATCACACAATTGCAGATTTTTCAAGAATTGGCCTTTCAATTAATGGCATTTGTCACGTGCATGAGTCATATCACTCATCTGGTCAGGCAGTTCAAACTAAACCATACTAATCTTACCAAACTGCAAAAATAATGCTTCCTTAATTTATATTTTCACAGAATCATATTATGCTATCATATAGCTAATAGAAACAAGTGGATATTAATGAGAATCTGTGGACACAATAAAGGAAGACAAACCTTCATCGTCACTCTCGTCCTCGAACTCATCCATGCCACCCATGCCACCCATACCGCCCATACCACCCATGCCACCCATCATCTCAGCCATGCCACCCATGCCACCCATACCACCCATGCCACCCATCATATCACCCATTCCGCCCATTCCACCCATTCCACCCATGCCACCAAAATTCTATAAAAAAAGACATAAAGAAAAACATTAGTTTAAAAAACAATATATGCATGAGCAAAAAGGAAATCTAGGAATAAACATGAAATCTGAAAAGAACTAATTACCGAAAAGTCCATTCCATCCACGTTGACATCAGCACCTAAAAAATAAAATATATGCATATCAAAACGTTGGATAAGGAACAAGGGCTTATTTACATTAATAAGGCCAGATTAAATTTCCTGGAATATCTATATAATTAAGTTAAAAAATAATATATTATAAGAGCAGATTAGGTCCCTAAACTGATATTAGTTTTGGGGCTTGAATGTGGAATCTAAACGAGTGAGACAATGTAGGTTTATATCCAACATAACGAGTAATAACAGTTTGTCCTGCGCATGATTTTTTTTTACCATGACCAGTTGAAAAACAAATGGAATGCCTTAAAGAGAAACATATATGGAACATTCTTCAAATTCAAACATGTCATTATGTGCTATGATCAAATGATACTCCATTCTAACATGTTAGGCGCACTTGCTTCATCTCACTTGTTCTCATTATGCTGCTACTAGTTGCGTCAAACATGAGAAAACAAGTCCACAGTTTATCACCGCAAAAGAAGTGCATAGCTTACCATCATCATCTTCATCAACCCATTTGTCCCAGTCAACTTTCACAAAGTGTGGTGCCTTTTGATCATCTCGAACAAGCTTCTTCCACCATTTGGCCTCAGCTTTTTCTACAATACAGAATATGGACCTAACACCTACACTTATTTTGCTCTCCTGTAGAATCAAAACAAATAAACACGGGATAAGGAACCACGCATTTTAATATAGAGGAAACTGCAGTCATATAGCTATTGCACGAGCATGTATTACCTCAACATTTACTTTGTCGTTCAACTCTAGCTTTGATTCGTATAAGTTCCCATCAGTTCCAGCTGTAGCAGAGAAAGAGAATACACCTTCTGGTTCCAGATTGACCTTAGCATCCTTAGCATCAGCTAATTGTACAGTTATGTAAACCTTGTCAATCCTCTGAGCCCACTTCACTTCAGGGTGCCGACTACAGGAAACAAAAAGAAAACCATAAAAAAAATTCAATTCTGAGCACCTTACAAGAAGCAAAAGAATGAGGGTTAGATCCCTTTGAGGTTAAACTCCAATACAAATACATCAGCAGCCTACAAAAATCCACAAGTTTACTGTGTGCCAGTAATATCCATGCTATATGAACAAGTGACAAGTACTCCCTCCGTATCATATTTGACTTTTTTTCTAGTCAAATTTCTTTAGGTATGACCAAATTTATAGAAAAATTTAGCAACATCTACAGCACCAAATTAGTTTCACTAAAATGTAATGCTGAATATATTTTGGTAATATGTTTGTCTTGTGTTGGAAATATTGCCATATTTTTCTATAAACTTGGACGAACTTTAAAAAAAATTGACTGGAAAAGAAGTCAAAACGACTTATAATGTGAAACACAGGGAGTATTATACAAAATACTGATAAAAATGAAAGTTTTCTTAATGAATATAAAATGGTGGTGTCTGGTAATCCTATCATAAAGCAAAACCAACAAAGAATCCTTAGAGAATACCGAGACACAATTGCCATTGGCATCAGTATCAGAGTTACCTACAACTGAACATGAACTAACACTTACAATGAGAAAGCACTAATGCAAAAATGTATTACAAACCAGATTTCAATCTCTTAAAAATATCACAATCGATAGACAAAACTACAAAGGCACAGAAATATCTACTAATAAGAGATATCTAGGAATAAGAGATAAACTAATTGCCTCCTAACAGTTATCAGAAGCTGCACGCACCATGGCATGAACCAACTTAGAGCAAGTTTAATAATAAAGCCAACTATGAACTTATAGCACATATTAGAGTTGACATGCATAGTAGATAAGCTATAAGCTTATCTATATTTTTCTTCTCCTCTCTATCTCATCTATACAATTAACTTATCCATCTTAAAGTATGTGAATGGTTAGCTCTTACATGAGACTGAGACCCAACCCTCTTCATTTTTCAAACTCTCTCTTCCACATAAGCTTACATTTGGCTACTTGGCTTATAGCCCACTATTAAACTTGAGCTTATTATTACTTTATTATTAAACTCCTGGTCGTCAGTGCGAAGTTATCCTCGTTAACTATAGGACTATACGAGCAGATGATCACCTCCAATTAACCAAATAAAACCCTGGCTAGCTCAATAAACCACACGAGCTACACCTAAACAGTAGCTGCCGCACAAGCATAATTAACCAACCCGACACAGTGGGAAACCAAAGCAGAGAGATCTACCAACACACCGATAGCTGGGGGCAACCCGCGCACGTGCGCGGGGACATGGCCGTGAACTGAGGCGCACCACCAAAAACCATCTAAACTTCCTACGGCCAACCCCCAACCCCCCAACCCTAGCAACAAACAGATCCCACAGAAATCAAAACACGACGAACCCTAGCGTCAAGCCCACGCCCGCGGAAGGGACCCCACGGGCCCTCTCGCGCTGCCGGGGATCTTCCCCCCGCGTGCACAGCGGCTGCCCCCTCCAGATCTAACCGCTCCCGGCGCTGGACGGCGCGTGCGGGCGGCGCGGAGTATGGGTTTCTCCGCCGAATCGGGAGCCGAAGTGATGATGGGAGAGGAGGAGGAGGAGGAGGGGAGCAATCGCTCACCTCATGCTGCCGTTTACCGGTGGAGGCGACGGCGGCGGCGGCGGGTGAGGGCCGAGGGTTTTGCGAGGTTTTTTGGGGAATGGAAGATGGAGAATGAAGGAGTGGAGAGGAAGTGTCTTGAAGTAGGGAAACGGAGGCGGTGCTGCGAGGGGGATGGGCTGGGCTTGGCTGGGTTCTCGTGGGCCTTGACTTCGCTGCAACCGAAAGAAGGAAAAAGTCCACAAGGACTCCCTCGAATATAGGATGAATCTGATTCGTATCCCTTACCCATAATACCAGATATCTTGACCCTCTTAGCTATTAAAACTGATGCAATATGAATCCTTTGGTGGTTTTGAAGGTGGTTTTCGTTGATGTAGCATCTAAGTATCGCATTGACTTAGTCTTCGTCATCTACGTGGCATTAAAAAAATAAAACATAATGTGTGGGGCCCATGGGTCAGACGACGGCGTGAAACCAACGGGACCAAGGCGGCACCTAGCGAAAGAAGAGCATAAGGCGGCAGCTACCTCGTCAGCGGGGGAAGTGCTGGCCACGCACGGCCGGAATCATCTAGGCGTCGTTGGTCTTGCCTTGGCCACGGTGGGGAGGCGAGAGAGGACGACGGTAGGGAGGACTAACCGATGGTGGTTGGGGAAACGAGGATGATAGCAAGGAGGCCAAGGCAAGGGGTGAGAAGGGTATGCAACAGCAAGGAATGCTATGATTTCCCAGCGGCGTTTGCGGTGTTATCTTCTCCAAAGCCCATGGCCGCGGCTGCGGCGTGCTCAACAAAGAGCCACTTGGGCATCGACTGGAGAAGGAACAACGGAAGTTGTACCCAAGGGGGACAAAGGGCTCCGAGCGTCATCGTCGTCCGTGATTTGGCTCCCAGGGTGCTCGACATTGCGAATGGCAATGGCATTCGCCGAGCTTGATATCTCCCCCAGCACCAAACCCTTCCTCCTAGCACCAATGCAGATTTGGCAGGCGAGCGAGCGATCCCGTCCTTCCTGCTAGTCCTGGGGCCTCGCGGACCGCAGACAAGCTCACCACCACCTCCAATTTCTCTTCCACAGGGCACTAGTGCGGTGCCAACACTCCTCTACCTATCGTCGTCCTCTCCAGCCTCCCTGCTGCCTACTCGTCCTTCTTGCTCCTCCCAAGGGCTCTCCAACTACTGTAGCGTCCCTTTCTACCGATGAGGTCTGTCGGTGAAATGGGCCCAGGGGTACACACAGTAAAGGGAAATATCTTTCCCATCTAGTCGCGTGGCCACGCGGCCTCGTTTCCCCCCGCCCCTCGGGTAGCGAGGTGGCTAGGGGGCCTCGGGGTGCGGTGGCCAGGGGGCCTCGGGGTGCCACGCCACACCCCTCGGGCTTTCGGGGCGTGCTACCCCGGGGCCCTCGCCCGGCCACCACATGGTGGGGAGAGGAGGCGAGGCGAAAGACGATGCTCCGCGCCTTTAATGCGCGGCGCCCCAACCGTCCCGCACCGCATTCAATGCGGCGTGGGGGGACGTGCGGCGCCGCTCGATTGACCCATGTCAATCGAGCATGACCGGCTTGTGACTGGTCACAGGCGACGGGACGGGGGGCAGTGCCCCCATGTTCTGCTCTGTGTCAGGCGGAGTGGGGGCATGTGTGCCCTGTCCCGTCGGCACGCTGCTAGGGGCGCCCCACGCGCGTGATGAACCGCCGAAGTCTTCATGCAATTAATAGGGAATGACAGGGATGTCCCCCGTGTCAGGCAGAGGACAGCGCTGGGCCCCACCTGAAGATAGGCGACCATGTTGCTTCCGGTTGAAGCAAAGGATAGCGGTATGATTAGGACCATGTGGGTCCCCCCTTTCCGTGGAGGGGTAAGTGCAAACGGTGCATGTGGTATCCCCTTGAACTATAAAAGGAGGACCGTTACCACTAGGAAAAAGGACGATTGGAGGAGAACTCAAGCTCGAAGGAAGAACAACTAGGTTCCCATCGGAGCTTGAAATCCCTTGTAAAAACTCACCATAATCCCACACACAGGAGTAGGGTATTACGCTCGGTAGCGGCCCGAACCTGTATAATCCTCGATCTCCCACACAGTCCCGACAGCGATCGAGCAACTAGACTGCAAGCGGAAGTAGGCTCCTGTCATCGTGCCATTTCCCCCGGCCGAACTCACAAGGGGGGGGGGTCTCACGACCACCTGCTAGGGAGGATCACTCCTCGACAAGGTCGCTGCTGCCTCCGGTTCCTCTTTCGTCAGGCATCGCGCATGGCGCCACCACTCCCTCCCCTGTCGTCATCCTCTCCAGCCTCCCCGCTACCTACCCATCCTTCCTGGTGCTCCAAGGGGCTAACCGGCCCCGCTGCATTCCTTCTCGTTTACGAGGTCACCACCACTTCCGGCCTCTTCTGCCGGGCATTGGTGCACTGCCCTTGGTCCCGCCAAGGCGCCAATCGTCGCCCTGACCACAAGAGAGTGGGAGGGAAAAAGAGGAAGAAAAATACAATTGTTGACCTATGAGTCCCATGGTTTTAATGTTTTTTTTTTTTATTATAACATGTCAATGCAACACATGGACGTCATGTCAGCAATACAACTCTCACTATTACCTTAGGAGTAATTTTGTACAAGTTTTAATAGCTGAGGGAGTCATTATACCTTGTTTGACGGTTGAGGGATATAAATCAAATTCGATATATATATATATATATATATATATATATATATATATTTAATGTAGTCAAAGTGGACTTTTTCCGTGAAAGAATGGCATAGGCCTACTCGTGCTACACCAAGGCTCCGTTTAGTGGAAACATATAACACAAACTTCGCATGTATACTCCCTGCACACAAACTACTAAATGTCACTTACGATTCTCGAAAAGTTTACGCATATAATTTCTAATAGGGTTACACCTATGTGTAACTCAAACTCATTATATTTTAGCCTAAAAAATCTGATGTTTTTAAGAATATAAATATTTAGAATTTCTCTCTGTATATATGATGAATTTAATAATAAAGTTTACACGTTGATGTAATAGTATTGAAAATACATGTGCATTTTTTTCTAGAGTTTTATGTGAACACGATATATACACGTGAAAACTTGTGTGCATATAACAAATTTGCTATAATAAAATGGTAAAAGTTGAAAGTATAAGGGTGATATAATTACGTTTATACGAGTTTAACAGGCTAACTTGCGAGTAGAGCCAAACTTAGTTCCTTAAGGTTAAAAGAGTTGAACCGAGCAGGCTCGTTTTGATTTTTTTTATTTTAAGAATAAATTTCACTTCGGGCCACTTTTTATTACTGATGTTTCACTTTGGACCACCCTTTAAGCAATATTTTCACTTTGGAGTGGGTAAACCTGCCTTTGTTTCACTTTGGACCACCCGACTCTCTTCTCAAGCATATGAACGATCTCGATTACATCATCTCCTACTCGTCAATGAACTGCCACAGCTATATGTAAGACTATTTCTTCGACATATTAAAAATTGGATGTAGATCGATAAAAGAGTAAGGGTGGTCCAAAGTGAAATAAAGGTAAAAATACCCGGTCCAAAGTGAAAACATTAGTCCTAAGGTGGTCCAAAGCGAAACATCGGTAATAAAAGGTGGTAAAATTAACTCTTTTATTTATTAAAATATTTACATAAATAATTTTCTATTTGAAAATTTTACAAAACTAGTCGCCCTCGCCGCCCTTTTACAAAACTTAGTCACCCACCGCCCATCGCTCGTTCCATGAGTTCAGATCACCTCACTAATGTATGCATAAATAAGTGAGTAGGCGATGACGAATGACCTTTAGATAACCTTATTCATGTATGCATAAATGTGTAGATGATGAAAGACTAATAAGCGCTTCATGCGTGCCTGCGATGTACACATTTATATGGATGAATACAATTCATAATAGAAGATTCCGTTCTACATATGGATATGGTCTGTTGCATCCATGAATTTCGAAGTATTTGAAGATGCACCCTCAGTGAGTTGATAACCACCATTCACATGGTTCAAAAACACGAGTGCATTTGAAGGGAGCCACAAAGATGATACTACAGTTACACAACATAAAAGAAAATCCCGAAAAAGTGTCCATTTATTGCAGAAGAGGAGTCTATGTTTATGATTTGCTAGCAGCTTCTGCCTGTTGAACTGTGGCACCAGGTTGAGCAGAAACTGCTGCTGCAGCAGCTGATGGAGAATACACCTTAGCTCTACGAAGAATCTCGGCAACAACCCAGTGCTTCCTTTTGCTCAAGGGCCTAGAAGGATCAAGCTTAACCTGGAGAGAAATTATCCAGTCATCATCAAAAAGGTTTTTCTTGGAGATAAAAAATTAATGCGCTCTTAGGTCGCACTTTGTGAACTACAAAAGGGGGAGATTAGTCTCCAGCAAGCTGATAAAATAGAAAAGTGCAGTAGGACAGCTCAAGATCACTAATATATTCGTCATAAGAGCAAATATGTTAGTCCCAACATATTTTTTTTTCTAAAAAAAAAATCCCTGTCACAAACTCACAGGGTAAAGTTGAACTTTTATGCTGTCTTTTTATTTATTTATTTATTTATTTTAACAATAGGTGGTGCAATCAATAGTCAGAACATAAAAGTTTCTGTTAAATCCAGTCCCTTGGTAATGTGGATCTTCGGGCGCACAAAACAAATTAATTTGAATAGGCAAAATCTTATGATGTGAATATGTTAACACTGTTATCACATTTGCATAAAGCAAAACTAATTAGAAAGTGGCATGTTAACATTATAACTATGCTTTGCAACAAATTATCTTTCAGACCTCCGTCCATGCTTTGCCAAGTTGCCATATCACATAAGATATGAGAAAATTCAGAGGCAAAAGATTATGCCACTATTAAAATCTAGTACAACCATCATTGTCAAAATTCTCATGGAAAGATTGTTTTGCATCTGATGAAGTAACTAGCTTACTGAAGTTCAGAGCCCCCAAAAGGGGCCTCTCTTGTCTGGAGTTGACACTCCTGATTAAAGGGTTGGCTTACTGTTTAGTGTATCAATTACGCCAAGAATTAAACTTCAGATTGTGCCTTAACTTTCAGTTGCTAATGTTATAGATTGAGGCTATAAATACTTGACATATCAAAAAGCTCTGGTCAAGAACTATTATGTGCTTATGATTAACCCTCAAATTTCTGAACTATATGAAACAATGTACATAACTAACACCAAAATCAAATTACAAGAACACAATATTTAAGATAACTTATCACGGTGGAAAAAAAACACAAACTGTAACTCAAAGAGTACCACTATGCAGTAGTGCCCTAGTAGCTCATATATGAACATCATAAATAGAAAGCAGTAGCATATAATCCAAACAGTTGTTCACTGCCGAGAGTAGTAAAATACAAAACTAATACTAATTGAAGTTGTTTTCAGAAATACTATCATGGCATTGTTAACGAGCAGATATGCAAGCAGACAGAGAAATGTCAACTCTTAAGGATTAGGTGCCATGACATGTAATGATGTCAACCATATGGTTGCAACCTCCCTACAGGCATCAATTTAACAGCTGGAACTATACAGAATAGGATAACAATCCACAATACTGTAACAACTAGTTTTGTTACAAGTCAAACTCCTTCAAGTTTAACCAAGTTCATAGAAAAATGTATCATCATTTCCAATACCAAACAAATATATTATAAAAATATGTTCAATGGCGGATATAATGAAATTAATTTGGTGTTATAAATGTTGCCACATTTTCCTAAATGTTTGGTCACAATTAAAGAAGCTTGACTTAGGACGAAATGAAAACATCTTACATCCTGAAACGGAGGGAGTAGATTATAAAAATAGCTCAAAAAGAAGGCATCATGTGCACTCTATATATTATATTACCACATTAATTGAAGGAAAAAGTAAATATTTACACCATTAGATTGTTATGAGTCCAGAGTATAACGGTGTAGATTGATTATTGGATATTATAGGCATTTGAGTCGTTGACATAATACAACTCTATTCTATGTAGGCAAAATCTGGTCAAGAAATACAATAGAATCCAACTCCAGTTCCAAAGCAATTAGGAGTAGTTGTTAAAACAGATCAGTAGTCAGTATTCATGTACTGATTTTCTCTTTCCTTTGAAAGGATTCACTCAGGGATGCTCAGAAGCATACAAATTAAAAAAAAAAAGGTCTCTGACCCGGTTCAAACAAACTGGCTGGCTAGACAACATCACTTCCATGTACATACATGGTGGTTCTGGACTTCCAGCAGCCATGCACATTGAGAGAACAGAGAAAGGCAGGCTAGATATTTAACAAATGAAAAAAAGTTTCTGTTGACATTTAATCAAATTTTGCTAAATGGCACAATCAAATTCCAGCTTCAAACATAGTAGTACAACTAAATTTTATTCATGCAACAAGCATAATGAAAGGCCCGCTGCTAAACTGGCCAATGCCGCAAACATGAGAATTGTGTTATTTTTGTGCAAATATAGTTCAAGACATAAGCATGACAGGTGCAATGGTGAGCTATGCAGGTAACCTACTGATCAGTTAGTTGAGCAGCTTAAATATACAGTTGAAACTGAAGAGAAACCCCCAACCCAATCTAAAAGTACAATGCTTCAAAAATTCAAGTTATAACTAGCAGCATTCTGGATGGTGCTTTTGAGGAGTGACGAGCAACATGACAAGTAGCAATTTAAGCTACCAAGGCATCAATTACTGTGTTAACTAGACACAGCTATCAAGATAGCAACCTCCTAGAAGTAGAAAAACATATACATAAAAACACATGGCTCAGGCAGATAATGCAATCAGAGCAAGGCAGGGCAAGCAACACATATTTTGTTGGCTCCAAGTGATGCAACAACAGATTTGACACTTTAAAGCAACTACAGCATGACTCGAGTCAAAAGACAATTCAATAGCTGGATTACTGGGCAAGAGGTGATCAGTAGGCCTCTGGTGGTACAATTGCCTTCGGAAGTTATATATAATCATGTAGAATTCTTGGATCAAACTCGCATTTATATTTGTAAGTTACAATACGCCATTTGTGATTTCATATTTTCATGTATTTCTTATCTTCCAAAACCGGGATAGAAATTGACTTGAACATTTCTCAGTATTGTGCGAAAAAAAGGCAAGATCTTTCATTTACTCCTTTCACTTCTCTGTGCATAAGGGAATAAAGAAATTTTATAAGTCAATGGTGGTGGCAGTGAATCAGCCACCACACCAACTCTACAGTAGATCCTTTTATCAACACATTCCTGAAGTTCTTTAGTATTACAAAACAGTCTTTCTACATATCTTATTCCGCCTCTAAAATACAAATTTATAATTCGAAGCTTTACGATAATGAAATTGTCGCATATATATGCAGTATAAAAGTAATTTTATGACCAGAGTAATGTAAAAGTTGTCAAGTGCTTCATGTAACTTAAATGACAAGTTATATATAAATGAAGGGTGTGTTCAATGAAAAAAAAACTCACAATCATTTGTTTGAAACAATATTACGAGCATTTAGCTGGTGAATGAATAAATTTTAGATGATATAGCATTATAGCCAAATGAACGACATCACACCAGAGAAATCAAATGCTCGCATCACAAATCAGCATGGATTAAAAAAAAAGAAAAAAGCTGAAACAGAGAGAGGGGGAGTGGAGAGGGGAGCTCGGTTACCGACCCGGTCGCCGATGTTACAGTCCTCGGTCTCATCGTGCGCCATGAACTTGGAGGTGCGCTTGACGTAGCGGTTGTACATCTTGTGGTGGAAGAGGCGGTCGACGGCCACCACCACCGACTTCTGCATCTTGTTCGACACCACGATCCCCACCACCGGCTTCATCGTCCGTCCCGCCCCCACCCCACCCGCGGGGAGACCGCCCGCCGACTGGCGATGGGATCGGCCGGGGACTGGCGGCAGAGAGGGCGGAGGAGGCCGCCGGCGCGGAGAGGGGGGCGGCGGCTGCGGCTCGCCGGCTGCGCACCGGGAGCGGAGACGATAGGCAAGCACGACAGTGAGTGAGGAGGGGGGCGAATCGGTTCGATTGATTCCAAGGGAGAAGCTAGGGTTTATGACTTGGGCCCAGGATGCTCCGATGTTGGGATTTTAAGTTGGGTGGCCCGCGGGCTTAGATGTTGTTCTAAGGGGCCCAATTGGGGAACGAAGCCTGGGCGCCTCCGCCCTTTGTGCTGTTCGCCGTACATGAACCAGAATAGATTTCTAGATCATACTCCTCCGTTCCTAAATATGTTCTAGATCATACGCCATTGATTTTTTAAAATATATTTAATCATTCGTCTTTTTTTAAAAACTTTTTTGAATAATATTCAAAAGCTTGAGTAGTAGTATTATATTTAACAATAAATCAAATGATAGAAAAAGAATTAATAATTACTTAAATTTTTTAAATAAGACGAACAATCAAACATGTTTTAAAAAGTTAACGGCATCAAATATTTAGGGACGGAGAGAGTATATATTTTGATTTTTCATCTGTAAAATATTGCATTGCATCAAAGATTTGTGTACATGTAGATTTAACTTGTAGTTATACCCAATTACATTGCATTTATACTTAGTTACATAAAACTTATATTAGTTATAGTGCATCAAAATTATGTTTTTGACAACTATTTTTTCTCTAGATTTATGATTTTTATGTGTTTATCCTTTTTTTTCATTCAAAATGGGTTCTATACATTAGTTCAATATTCTGCAAGATTTAGAGTTCCAAATTTGTTGAAAGATCAATAGATTAGTCTCTTTCCAGAATGGTACACCAACTTCTTGCAAAGGAAGGAACACTACTGATCTTTCAATATATATGGGCAAAATAGAAGTACTCAACACTTTATCGGCTGCATTTGGCAAAATCCTTTTTTTTTTCTTCCGAGAAATATGGTACAAACATATACAAACACAAGTACACAACATATGCGCTCTTACCCTAAATGCAAACACTCACACCCTAGTCATACAAGTACCTTCGAAAGACCGACCGATATATCTTGAGATTGACGAAACCACGGACGACTCACTATCGACGGGTATGTCGTTTACCATTATAAAATAATAAGCTATTCCCATCAAATAATAATAAAAACTATAAATATGAGCACCCATGTCAAGTCTATAACTTCAATTGGGTAGATTGGTCTAAAAAAAAACCTAATCGATTGAATTACGCTTACTTTGCAAAATCTTTTTTTTTACTTGCAAAATAATTAAGGGAACATCAACGTCTTGCAAGTGGGACCTCCTTAGTTGACATTTGCCATAGTCAAACAAAAAGGATCTCACGTATACAACACGCACCGATTTTTTATTGAAAATTATACCACGTACGTAGTCATCTAAGCAACTTGGGCCTCCTTCATAACAAAAGGAAATTTATAAGTTTTTGCTACTTTGGAATCAGGGTAAAACTCTAAACAATTTTTGGGACATACTAGGATTTTTATCATTTTTTGTAAAATCGCTCGATTTCCAAGGAGCAATTTTTTTTTTTACAAACGGTACCACGAGTCTACGTAGTGAATTAAGGACTAGCCTAGATGCTTTGCGCCGTGAAATTTTTTACCATAATAACGTGGAATAAGTAATAACACGATGCTAGTACAATTTGGAGAGAGATGGTGCTGTTGGTGTTTAGGATGAAAATGGTCGGAAAAACCCTCTACCATTTTTATTTCTATATTTCTTTTTTTCCGAAAACGGAATCGAAACGGTATAAAAAAACGATAACGATATCAGTATATTGGAAATGGAAACGTCGAAACAGAACCTAGCGATGTTGGTTGGAAGAAAATTCATATTGGAAACAACAAAGTGAGGCATAATCACATATTTAATTATACATGAAGATAACTTTATAACTTTATTCTTACATCATTACACTCCACATAATACCATTATATGATGATTAATGATATGATAATATGTTCGACGAATAATATAAACAAAGTTCAATAATACTTTAACATCGATAAGTTGAAGAGACCAAAGTTCAACAAAGCCCACATGCCACGCCCTAGGGTTAACCGTGTTTTCCCCTAGCCACTTCCCTTTTCTAATGGGCTACAAGTCCGCCAGGCTTCCAACATTCATGAGCTTCCGATGGGTTGGACTAGCTGAGCCGTTGGAGAACTTTCAGAATTTTCTCAGAATTTTGACGGAAATTACCGGATAAATACGATTACCAATAAAAACGGTTGAAAAAACCTCCATCCCACTTCCGCTATCATTTCCAGAAGATATTACCATTTCTATTTCCAACACTGATAATTGCCGATACCGACTAAAACGGTAGGTGCAGACCAGAAATGATAGCCGGAAATTTCCATACTGTTTTCAACCATAGGGCATTTGGGTGAGGGGACTAAGGTGCATTTAGGAGAAGAGAAAAAGATAATGCACGCAAAATGAGGTATATCGTTAGCGTGTGATTAACTATTTTAAACTAGAAAATGACTAATATAGTTTTTTGCAAAAAAATTCTATATTTTTTTTTTTCAAAAAACACTGATTAGCAGTTCAAAATGCACGCGCGTGAAAAACGAGGAACTTTCTCTCCTCTGTTTAACACACCGATGTTAGACTTACAGTATCAGTTTAGAATAGGCTGAACCTTTATATATCTGGTATTCGAAAGAAAAAACCACATGCTCAGTTGTAGTCATCTTAAGTCGTGGATTTGATAAGGATCTATACCATATTCTTTACCCCCATCTTTCTAACTTCTACTCACTTGTTTTATACGCACATCCTTCTCAAACCACTAAAGGGCGTGTTTTTTTTAAGAATATATAGAAAAATTACTTTAAAAATTATAGTAATCTATTTTCAGGTTTTTTAAACTAATACTTAATTAATTATGCGCCAATGTATAATACTTAATTAATTATGCGCCAATGTATATTTCATTTTACATGATGGAGAGAAGGGGTTCCGAACACAACTTTAATTGTCCGACACCAATTATTTTTCTTGGTTGTCCAAGTACTCTGGCTTTCCATTCTAAAATATAAAATATAAAGACACTATTATTTTTCTCCATGTCTTATAATATATGGCACGCAGTCATGTATATAGTACTAACTAGCTCATTTAAATTTGCTTTGTTTTAAATCATCTACCATCAAACTTCCAATCACATAATTATTTACATGTTTCGAGGTGATCCAATTGATGAGGTGATTAAATTTACTTTTTGTTTTTGTGTTAGTGGTGGTTATTTTTTATATTTTGGGATAAAAGGAGTATTTGTTTTTTTTTTGAAAAAAAATACACTCTAGATCCAGGGGCTTAGCCCCCGGTACTTTTGTTATAGCCAACCATTTCTCTTGGCTTCTCTCTTGAATTCGCCTTTAACAAAAGATGGTCCAGTACAGGTGATGAGAGTGTGAAGAGATCTATCCTTTTCCTTAAAAAGAAAGAAAAGAAAAGAAAAACAAAGAAAGAAAGAGTGGATGCCCCCAACCCAACCAAGCACGTGCCAGCCACGCCGCCCCCTCACCCCATCACCCATCACCGGTCGCTCTCCACGCCAGTACACATGAATCCTCTTCCTCACTCCTCATTGCTGCTGTTCACCCAGACTCGCACAGTTCATGCTCATGCGTGGAGGAACGGTCGTTTTCTTTTGCTCCTTTTGATAGAGGCGCTACCGCTACCTTACCCTTACCTAGCTAAGCTAGGGTCTCCCTTCAGTGACAATGATCAACGATGGAGTAATTCCAACGCCATGAGATCCGTGCTGTTTTGGGTGGTATAATTGGACGTGTTTGGTTGCCTACAAAAGCTTTTATCCCGTTTATGTTTCTATCTTGTTTTGTAATTATATGAATAGGAAATGCATGTGAAAATAAAAAACGGTTTTGTTATATATTTATCAGCAAATTTTCTAAAAACATATTGTAACTTGCATGTAATTATAGAGTAAATTTCACGAAAATAGTACTTCAACCAAAATATTAGAAAACTACAGATTTAAGGTCTTCTATCATAAAACTACAAATTTAGTGCAGTTAGCCGATGCTTATTTCTCGGATACTGTCATTGTCATTGTTCTTCTCTGAGAAAAGAAGTTGACGACCCGTGGGCTTTCACCTCCACATGACATTGCTCCATCAGGCTTTCACCCATTGCAGATGCTTCTCTCATGATACAATCCGCTTCCTGCTGAGCCTCCTTTCTTCTTGATCCACAGAAAAAAAAATGGAGAACTAGCGCTGACAATTTATCGCGGAAGAAACAACTCACCGAACCGAGAACACTAACTAATAGAATAGTACTACTAACTTGTACTAATAGATCCCGCAGAAAAAAAAACTTATACTAATAGATATCAAGAAATAGAAACAAACTACAAGTCTATATAACATAGAAAACCAAGCAGCCATGATGGGTACGTGTGCGATGAATCCCGTTCCCCCTCCTGATCTTCCTCTTCATGCCTGACTCGTTTTCATCACCTGAAGCTAAAATTTCTCACAAAACTATAGATTTAGGATGGAGTGTAAAAAAAACTAAGCAGCAATTTTATCACAAAACTATAGGTTTAGTGCTAATTTATCCCAAAACTATAACATTTATAGCTCCAACATAAAGTTTGCAATAGGGATTTAAACTCTAGAATTTGTATCCTTGTGATAACTTCAATATGAAATATGTACTTTTAAGATAACTTATAATATAAAATCTATAGTTTTGTGGTACTTGGTCTTAAATATATAGTTTTGTGATAATTTTACCGCTAAGTCTGTAGTTTTTTGATACAACATCTCAAATATGTAGTTTTGCGTAGTTTGGTCAAAATATCTATAGCTTTGTGAAATTTACTCTATTTATAATGTAGCTTGTATGCAAATTTCATATATTTTGAACCATTAGATTTACTCTAAGATTCATGCTAGTGGGAAAGAGAAAATCGTAACACACACGGGTGAGGGGATTTGGTCCCATGACTTCCGCTTTGCAGAAATAGCTCCACATGGTGGGATTTTTCAAAGTTATATCCAAGTTATACTATAGTTTTATATTATAATTATACTATAATTACATTTGATAAATTTTGATAAAAAAATTGTCAATAAATATATATATAGATAATCCCAATAAAAAAATACCTCTACTAAGTTAAAAACGGAGTCGTCCTCCTTCCATCCCCTCCTCCCACCACCACGGTGTGTCCGTACGCTGAAAGTAAACACGACATCCAATGTTTTATCTTTAATCACCCTTCTAGCTTATCTCTATTTATATGAGCCTGGCCCATTACAATTGTTACAAAATACTCCATCATAGCATATCCCTATTTGTTCGGTTTGGCCATGATATTATCGTTACTAGTTTAAAAAAACTTAGGTTCCATGAATATCTCACGTTTGGCCGGAACTATCTAGAGGTTTAGGCCCTGTTTCTTTCAGCTTGGGATTATTATAATCTAGATTATTGAGTCAGATTACTATAAGCTAGATTGTTATAATCTGTAGTAGAATAAGCGGTTAGTTGTTTCTTTCCTAGATTATTAGAGCCTAGATTATTGGGTTTGCAAGTCTAAAGAGGGAGTGGGGTGGTATTGTGGGTAATTTTTCACCCAATAATCTGGAAAAAGCTCACCTAAATGAGCTTATCAGATTATAATAAGCTGGGTTCCAGATTATAATAAGCTACTTCAATAAGTTGTCTGTTTCTTAATCCCAAGCTGAAAGAAACAGGGCCTTATATATGTTCTCTTTTAGAAAAGTTTGTCATTTTTAGCCTTTTAAAGTCCATATATATAAACGAACTTTTTTTTACTACATAATTATAATCAGCTTTTGTTTAATTAACAAATTTAGCTACACCCCAAAACCTATGTTACAATGACACTCTTTTGTAACTGTGGAGAGAGAATATTAACTACCTCCGCTCTAAAAAAGGTAAAGTTTTTAATGTATTATTATCAGATGTCAATATCTTAAATCATTGATAGATGACAAAAATAATATTAGTATTAAAAATGTGAAAGTTAAATTAGTATTTTTTTTATGAAAAACTCTGTCATATTATTTATATTTTAAATATTTTCTATAGATATATAGTTTGAAAAAAAAAATCAAAAAATCGTGAAATATATAGTAGTAGTATGCTATATATATGTACCTAGAGATCAAGTAATAAAGTAATGAATGATGGATAGAGTAGTACGGTGCCATCTCGAATAAGAACAAGGTAGGCTCAAATTTGCCCGAGAGCTTTAGCCAATTCAGTGGCACGACATCAAGATTGAAGAGATACAACACCTTAATACTCCCTCCGTTTCACAATGTAAGTCATTCTAGCATTTCCCACATTCATATTGATGTTAATAAATCTAGACATATATATCCATCTAGATTCATTAACATCCATATAAATATAGGAAATGTTAGAATGACTTACATTGTGAAACGGAGGAAGTATCTTCTTATGGAAGGTCATAATTTTACGAAACATTTAATGATGGCCCCAAAAAGATTATACATTAAATGTCCTTCTTCGACATTTCATTTCAAAAGGAGTACTAATGATTTTGGAGGGAGAAAGGACAAAGGTCAGATAATGTTGGACATTATGATAGATTTAATCTAATAGTCTCTATCATGTAAAAGTATGTATATATATAAATATATCTATAAATTGAAATATTCTATAGAAATTTTATCAAGGAGTATAAAAGCATGGGAGCACATTCATGTTATTTTAGAATCCATACTATTCACATAGATTAATTTTGATCATAATTATAAGCCTTATAGGTTAGAGCATAGGGTTTGGACATATGAAAATAATATAGCCAAGTTTCTGTAAACATAGTCCAAACATATATGCTCATATACATACACGCGTACTCACCCATATGAATGCACATGTGCACACTTATTTCTAATAGCACATTTAAGAGATTAGATCATTGGACCAGTATATGTCGAGATTATCATAACCTACAACGAAAAAAAAATGAAGAGTTGGCTGGCATATGTTGAGAACCTCGCGAGTTAATAGTTAATCGACATATCATGAGTTAACCTCACGCTTTCTTAGATTGGACCAACACGTACATATTGAGGGTAACAAAGTCTTGTTAAAGAATAATTATCTGTAAATTTAAGCACCCGTACTCTTGGAATCACTTAAACCCCGATGTGCAATTTCAACTATAAGGAAACCAACTAGCTTAGTCCGCAACATGGTCAGGTGTTTGTTATAAAAGCTTTCGTAACATTATATATTTATTGATTGATGTAATAACTTTTAATTTATGTGAAAGAATTAGGTGGTGAAAGTTGCATTTCATTAATTTTGAAAGGTCTAACATTGTTTTGGACCGAAGAGAGTACAACAAACCTATTCCATCTGTTCTAACTATAAGCATCTCTACAATTTACTTACCACAGTTCAAGTATTTCAAAACAATTGAATATACAGAAATTCATTCATTTTCAGTTAATCAGGCGTTTGAAAGGGGAATGTTAGTAATTTAAAATTCAAAATTAGGCTACCAAGGTGACAAAGAGAATGGAGTAAATTGCACCCACGGTACAAGAACTTGGTGTAGATGCGTGCGATTTAGTGTAAGAACTTGAAAAATGAGTAGAATTGTATATAAACTTGACAACCACGTGCATTTTAGTCAAAAATATTGATACACACCTTGGATTAATCCTGGTATTATAAGCTTAACTGCTAGTAGATCATTGGATCAATTTCGTGTTTTGCCATGTTCATAACCCAAGATAATGAATATGTTGATTAATCAAATCGCTCGGAAATTATGCTATTTGCATGCACTTAATTTTGATAATCATATATCTTTCGGTTTCAAATCGATAGATTATTTTATTATTATAACTAACAAATTGAAAGCAATACATAATACATGTAGATCCTTGTCGAGATGGCATTATTAGCTGCTTTTTTTATATTGTATAAAAAGTATGGTGTGGAATATTGATCTTTTAACCAAAATGCATGCACTAGCCAAGTTGTTGTACCTATATACTCATTTTTCAAGTTTTTGAACTAGATCGCACCCACCTACCAAATTTATTTACTGTAGACGCAATTGACTAAATAGGGTAAATTGGCTTAAACCTTAATATTTGCTAAACAACCTAAAAACGGATTAGCTAAAATTATGTCGACACATGCTATAGTCGATTTTTTTAGCTACTTACACAGTAATTACACCTCACTTACACCCGCTTACACCTAACTTATATATATAATTAGTATGTAATTTTTGAATTTACATATGTAATTTTAGGATTTACATATGTAATTTTGATATTTACATTATAAATACACTAAAATTATATACGTAATTTAGAGACTTACAATATAAATAAACGCCGACTATTTTTTGGTGAAAAATACGGCGCCATAAATATAGCTACACCTTAAAAAAAAGCTTATATTCTAATAAAACAGATATTAGAAATAATTATCATGAAAGGCATAATCTCCTCGAAGAAAACCCAATTCCAATCATCAACCCATCGAATCGATTCCACGCTTTGCATGTGTAGACCACACCTTTCATCCTCCACCGTTGAGCCATCATTTCCGCCTCACCCCTCCCAAACAAAAGCCCCCAACCCGATCCACCCTCCCCCTCCATTGATCACCCCCGTCCAGTGCCAGTCCACTCCATCGCAGCCGTCCATCATCGTATCCCGCACGAATCTCCACGCGCTCACCGCACACGGGAATCCCACCCGCACGGAATCCAAGTCCCATCTAAATCACGCACACTGAAACAGATAGAGAAAGAGAGAGAGAGAGAGGGGGGGCGAGGCGGCGGCAGCCATGGCGACGCTGCCGCAGCGGTTCAAGCTGCTGGCGACGCGGTGCGCGGCGGGGGCGGCGGCGCCGAGCCCGTCGCGCAGCCCCGCGCCGTCGTACGCCGGGGCCAGCCCCGGGTACCGCCTCCGCCGCCGCCGCAGGCGCCGCGGCGGCGTCGACGGCCGGCTGCGGCGCTTCCTGTCCCGCCGCGTCGGCGTGGGCGGCTGCGGCGGGGGTGGTGGTGGTGGGGGGAAGGAGGCGGCCGCCGCGCGGGAGCAGGAGGAGTACAGGAAGCCGCTCGTGGGCCGCGGCGGCCGCACGCTGCGGGATCTGTTCGTCGCGTCGCCGGAGGCGGCGCGACGCCGCGGCGGCGATGACGACGAAGGTGGGGGCATTGGCGGCTTCAGGTCGGGTCATGGCGGCGGAGGCGGAGGCGGCGGTGGAGGCAGGAGGTTCGGTTCCGGCGGGCTGCGGAGCCTGCTGATGCGGCGGAGCTGGCGGCCGGTGCTGGTGGCGATCCCGGAAGGCGAGGGCCGGCCGGAGCTCGCCGTCATCGAGGAATAAATAACGAACAGCAGGAGCAGCAACGACGGAAGAGAAGAGATCAAGAAACCCTGAAGAGGACATGGATTCCTCCACTGTCCCCATCTTGTTCATCTTCTTGCTCTGTTTCTTGCGTCTTCTTCTTCCTCTCTTTGGTTTCTTCTTTTCATTAGTTTTGATCCACTTCTTGTTGTAGGAGATTTGCCGCTGTGAATATGGAATACCAAATCACCACCATCACCCAATCAATCAATCTGACCCCAAATTGCAAATTCGCTCTAGTTTTACTCTGCATGCATCATCAGTTCATCACAAATTCACCATTTCTTTTCTCCTCTCCTCAAACTGCGACACGCTACGCTGCTACAGGCCACGATGATCTTGTCATCATCATCATCAGCACAGCAGCAGCAGCAGCAAAGCCATCATTACTACCACTGTACTGCTCACTTGCCAAGAATGTACTGTGCTCGTACATTGGTACTACTTCTACTACCAGTACACACTTGTACCATCGTGCTTGCAGCCATGGCCATGGCCGCCGGAGTCAACGGAGGAGGTAGTGGTAGCTCGTAGTACTCCGGTCGGGATCGGGACGGGCTCGAGGCACGAAGCTGATGCCTGATGCTGGGATTTTTCAGCATGTTCATCTATTCGCTTCAGTTTTCAGAGTTTTCCATCGGCGGTTCAGGTCTGGAGCTGTGGATGTGACCACATTCGACCGGCGTAATTTCTGGGTGGCTGGGCCTAGCTTAGCTACTGCATGCATTTATGGTTCGGTTACTCGTTGAGCCGACGAGTCCATGTGACCACAACCAACCCGGCTTGTTAGCTCACCACACTCCATGTTCACTGGGTTTGTTGTAGGTATGACCTTAAACCTTGAGAGTTCAGTGCAAACATAAGATAAGACATGGAGAAAGAAACAAGGCCAAATGGATGGTATCAAGAGCCTCAAGAATGATGACAATGATAAATGTAGATAGGACTTACCAGGAATATATACTATGCACACAAATTTTCCATACACATCAATTAACAAATGTCACATAAAATTCTAGAAAAAATTAGACACATAGTTTCAATAGTATTACACCTAAGTGTGAAATCTTATCTTCAAATTTGTTATATTTTAGCCGTAACCCAAAAAAAAAACAAAATTCTAATATATTTTAACTCAAAAAGTTGTCAGATTTTTCACTTTTTTTAGGGTTAAAATATAATTAATTTGAAAATAAGACTTTGCATATATGTGTAATACTATTATAAGTAAATGTTCAATTTTTTTTGTATAATTATTCGTAACATTTGCTAGTTGGTGTGCACGGAAAGCTTATGTGCATAGGATATGTTCACAGAGTTACCAAAGTAATTGTATCTTTCATTGGTTTACTTACATTTCCCAAAAATCTCAATAGACTATGATGAATGTCATCAGATCAAACAGCGAGCGTGAAGGACAATGATGGTGGCAGTCACGACAATGGCGACCACAACCTCCTTGGCAAGCCTCATCACTAACACCCTAACGAACTCCGATAGGCTTTACCGGATTAGGGTTTCAAGGTTGGAGGTTACTAGGGAGGGGGGGGGGGGAGGGGGTTCAGGGCGGCTTTATAGTGATGACTAGGGCGATGGAAGAACAATTAGGGGCGGTGGAGATGTCTCACCCAAGGATTTAATAACCCGAATCACCGGCTATCTGTGCATTTAACCTCTGTCCAGACATCAACTATAGTACACAGATGACAATTTGATATAGTTCCACGTTTTACAAAAATAACAAAATAAACTCATACGCAGCGAAAAAACTAGAGAACTAAATTTAATCTTCACAGCAACGCGAAGCTTCCTCCATAACTCCACAGGCAAACTCTTGACGGCTGGCACAATCCTAAACTTCATAGAACTCACCATCTGAACCAACTTCTGCTTCTAGGGGATTGGGAAAAAGAAGTAAGACTGAGTACAACCACCGTACTCAACAAGTCATACCAAGGGGAAGGTATGATGCAAGGATAAAACAAAGGATTGGCTCATAGGATATTTTGCAGTAAAAACATCATTTGTAAATCATAAGTTGAAAGCAGTAAAACAATATATAATTAAGTAGTATTAACATCATCACTGTCCAACGCTAAACCACGTTGCGACAGGCCCAAACCAAAACCACCTGAACTACACTAGTTCATTAAGGCAAATTATTAAGGTGAGACTAATCATGGTGAGCTGGTTGACCGCCCAATAACCGTGGGCACGGCTATTCGAATAGTTTTACTCTGATTAGAGGTGTACAACTTTACCCACAAGACACGATTCCACACATGAAACCATGCCCCAAGTACCGCCACGATACTGCAAAGGGGGAAATCGTGACAAAACCCTCCATATAACCACCCCTAACCAGCATGCCCACCTCCAGTTTCGCCCCCACTCCAAAATCCAGGAGCAGGCAGCCTCCGCTCGTGCCTAGGTAAATCCGGAAGCAGCATAGACCAAAATCCAGGTCCATCCATACTCCATCACATCTATCCTCGCCAATGGTGTGCTAGCTAGAAAATATTATACTTAAGATTCAGCCTAGAGCCCATATGGCTTATGATTAGTACGAGTATATCTTCCAGGGATTCCCGAGAACCGGTCCTTAATTGTCATGGGCACAACCACCAAATAAATCATCATGCATGTGCCCACGACCCACCAAGTAAAGCATATTTTAATTAATTAACCATATGCCAAGAAGGCATAGCATAATCAAATTAAGGACTAAATTATAGTGAATCCCATTGTGAGCTAGTTGATCTAAGCTTGGCTAAGCAATCCTAGACCAATCATCTAGTCAAATTTTTATCCCAGAATATCAATGAATTAAGGTAAACAAAGGCTGAGTATGGGTAGAAACCATCCCACATGACATTATAAAAGTAATGCAATTTTGAGAGAAAAGCAGGGGTTTTTGCAAATAGGCTCAATATGATCAATGATATCTGTATGACTTGCCTTGCTCTTCAATTGACGGGACCTCGGCGACCACTTCAAAATAAACCGGAGCGTCAGAAGTGCCGGAGTCTAAACGACAAACAAGGTACACAATAAATACATGCTAAAAAGCTACTGAAACAACAAAAGAAACCAATTTTAATGGATTCTTGACATTTAACGAATTCACTGCAATTTGAATGGGTTAAAACGGAGCTCAGATTATTAAGTTATGAATTTTAGAAGATGCTCTGTGCTATTACTATTAACAGAAAAACCTTAATCAATTGACAGGGATTTAAGCCCGAAAGAACATAGGATCAAAGGATAGATTGATTGGCAAGCGTGCCTCACGTGATACCGACTCAACGAGTCAATTCTACGTGACACAGGATCACCCAAATGATCAATCGAAACCGGTGAAAGGAGCCGGCGGCTCTGAACGGCTCTAACCTAAAGGACGACTCGGGACGGACGAACGAACGAACCACAGGGAACACCTCGTTCAAATGAACGAGTGAACGACACAACAACGACTGCAGCTAAACCGGCGGGCTAGACACGATTCACGGTAAAGCCCCGGTACGGCAAACGATTGGCCGGTAGGAACCTAGGGTTGCACCTACGGCTAGACAACTCGACTACCTATACGGAAAGGAAAGGAAATGGTTCCGCAAACTGACACGTATATGGTTCCTCATGCAAAACAAGACCACGGGCTGAGAGGGGAGTGAATTGGGCACAATTCACGACCAAAGGCAAAGGAAGAAGAATTAACTTGCCACTTTTAACTTAGCAACATTGCCTCCGTGATCTGATATTGACTCTTTAAGTCTTGTTAGTGATTTTTAGAGCAAAGAGATTTCGAAAAAAATTCTCCCTGACAATTCCGACTATTAAATGTATTGTTAACTAGGGTTTTCTAGTGGTTAACCAAAGCAAATTCTTGAAGCCATTTATTAGTGATTTGAAACCTAAGGGAAGGGAAAACTTTGGGTGTGACAGGAGATGAGTGAGTAAGAAGGCGCCGGTGGCGGTGAGGCTGAGACATGTCTTGTGGTTAGGAGACGGGACATGGGATCACACAATGACTAGCCTAGCCGGCGGTGGTATGGTGTCGTCGAGACGGAGTGTGGCAACACACTTGGTTGGGGCAGTGGTAGCGATGATCACCCAGTGGGAGTGAAAGGCTTGCGTTTGTACTGTATTTTTTAAAAAAGAAAAGGAAGTATACAAAAGAGGAAAAAGTCCAAATTACACCCTTGAACTATTGCAATGGTGCAAATTACCCCACAGTCCCCCAACAACTTAGTCTGGAGTAGTTTTGAACCTACGTGGCAGTCCAGTTAAAAATAAGTCAGTGAGGCTGACCTATCATTGCTACTTCCAATTAGGACTGTCAAAAAAGCTCGAGCTCGTGAGGCTCATACTAGATTGGAGCGCGGTTCGAACTCTTAATGATCCGAACTCGAGCCTAGCTGCAAGCTCACGAGCTTTGTCGAGCTGAGCTCGAGCTTATCTTTTATATGATAAGTTAGTAGCTCAAGGATAAATTAGTATATATTCATGTGAAAAAAATTGTGTATTTTGGCATGATATATTAATCTTAAGTTCTCCTAATGTCACGCCCGGAATTTCTATCCAAAATTCCAAACGCTTACATGTGTGTGAACCCTCGTCCAGGAATCAGCCGAGGCACACAATAACAAATTGATAATAGAGTACAATTATTACTCTAATTAATAAGCGAATAAAATGTCATTACAGAGGTAGATAGTTCCTCTCAATCAATAAATATCTAAGCAGCGGAAAATAAGATAAACGGCGCAGACGGCTCCACTCCACAGGCAGCTTGACAAGGGCTTCACCTAATCCTCCACACCATCAGCTTCACTGTAGAACTCTTCCTCTGATGAATGATTGCAAGGTGAGTATATGACATACTCAGCAAGCCACGCAGCAAATATGCAAGTGCACAGGATAACAAAGGATGGCATAGTAGGGTTTCATTTGCAAAAGCAGCATTTAGCAAACATTTGAGAATTTAATAAAACAGTTAAGTAATTAAACAATATTAATCCAACGCTATACAACATACCCTGTTGCATAGGCCCAACCATTCTGAACAACCATCCCGGCTGCACAGTTCTATCTCCAAACCAGGAATATACCATTCCAAACCAGGAGCTAATCAAATTATTACCAGTTATAGCATCTTCTATTGTGGTGAGAAGGGTGAGACTAATCACGAAAGACATTGTTAGACCCGCCCATAACCGCGGGCACGGCTATT